TGACTGTCAATATTTTTCGATGACGGTATTCTACTTCTGAGATTTTGGGGTCAGCATCTTGGTTGTCGGCATTTTAGCTCTCATGGCTCGATTGTCAGTATTTTTGGTGGTCGACATTTTGGCTGTCGACATTTTGTTCGTCTTTGGATTTCGGCATTTCGAGTGTCGGCTATATGGTTTCGTTTTATTGTCGGTATTTAGCTTTTTCCCTGGTTCCGTTAGTTAACTCCTCCGTCTTATGGAATTCTCTGCCTCTTTCCCGGCTTCTTCGACCAGAAAAGCCACTCCCCGGCATTTCCGCATCATTGGATTTTCCAAGGAAAGGCGCAGGAAATAGGGAAATGCTGAGTAAAGCCCTACTCCATCCCGAATTTTTCTTATTTTCCAGTTTACTATTGCATTTCCGGTTTCCGATTTGGTCACAAAGCCATCAGCAAGATTTTGCGGGGTTTTCCAATCTTTTAAATTGCGGATATCAACCGCTTAGTCGACTTTACCTTGCGTAATTTATTACAACCCTTTCGCGGAAACTGGCTTTGGTTTGCTAAAGCTCTAATTTATGTAGATCGAAGTGTTAAAAACGGTTAATCTACATCATTTTCGGTCCCGCCGCGTTATCGGGGGGGGTTCTTTGACTCTAATTTTTTAATATAAATAGGCGAGGCATTTCCACACATATTTTTGCTACTTCTAAACGTAAAAACTTTACAAATTTTTCTTGCAAATATAAAGAATCTTGATTTTCTACCAAAAACGCCGCTTTTGAGCAAAATTTCAGGTGTTAAAAATTTGCAAAACTTTTACATCGTTTTCGCTTTCGCTAGGATTAAATTTTGCTAAAAAAACTAATAAAATAATTGCTATTACAGTAATTGCTCTTTTAACTTAGAGGAAGAGAATTCATCCCCCGTTAATGCCACAGAACCTAGTTTCTAGTCCCTTCCGATCAAAACCCCCCAGAGTACGTCGTTTAATTAATTTTTCAAGATCCTAATTTGAATTCTGAAGGGGTCGGTAGCCCCTTAGGGCCAAAAATACGGGCCCAATTAGTTTTGTGTGGGTCGTGGATGGCCATCTTAGGGCCCATATGCCCCCGCAGGGCCTTCTAATTTGGGTGGTGGCAGCCGGGGGCTACGCTTTTTACGGGTGTCGATAGTATGTAGTGGACAGGAAGATATACTCACTAGTCAGAAACAGATAGAGAGAGAGAGAGAGAGGGGAGAGAGGGAGAGGGGAGATACTGAGCAACAATGCTTAATTAGAAGGCCGTCCTGCTCCCCGTAACGCCAGCCCATCTGTCACCAGCCTTTTGCCTGGAGTCTTCTTGGCCCCGGTGGCGCAACCCAGCCACTCACTACTGGACCCTAAAGTCATTTTGGGCCGTTCTCCCGGCTGGGGCCAATATATACGCCCTGGGCATTGAATTATGAGCATGAGCGCGAGAGCTTTTTCGGCATGCATACTTTGGCTAGGAGTTCATTACTATACTACGAGTTTTAGCTAGAAGTATCGAGTCACTTTGGTACTGTGCTGTTAGCGAGGGTGGTGTAATTCTATTTTCCGGCTAACTATTCATAGTATATAAGGTATTTTATAGTAATTTTAGTCTTTTATGAATACTAGAAAGTTATGAAAATATTTTTAGAATGAAGATTTTTAATTTTTGGTTATCTTTCATACATTTTTGGTCAAAACAAACAAAAATTTTAGTTTTTTAAGTTTTTTTGTGTGATTTTTAGTTCTAAAAAAGCCATCAAATGTTATAAAAATCGTGGAAAATTCTTGGAAAAAATTGTTCACCCCCGCTAACAGTACAGTACCCCTTTTCCATGCCCTTAGCATATTTTACGATTTATTTTCCATATCAATATTTTTTTACGAGAAATTTCCCATTCCAGAAATGTTTTGGCTATTATTCCGTGACTAATCGGACCCTATATGTTTTCTCCATGAATTCATAATTAGCTTTTGTCGTGGATTCCCACGGAAAAGGGCTCCCATCTTTAGCTCGGCTCCATAAATTTTTAATCCCCGCTCCGAGTACGCCCCTTTTTGGCGCCTTCTTCCCGGGTGTTTCAATTTTTCACATATTTTTTGAGATTGTTGAGATTTTTGGGAGCGGATTTTAGGGTAATTGTCATTTTTGATACTTCTGGATTTTATTTACAAATTTTTAAGGCCAATTTATGGCTTCCACTTTCCTTGAAAAGCGGTAAAATCGAAGCCAGGAGTTGTTTAAATGACTAAACTAATCCTTTTCCATTATATATTTGCCTTCATAGTCCCTTTAAAAAATAGCATCAGGGCAGTAGTTGCATTTAACCAGGCATAGATTTGTCTTACATGCCCGTCGATATTGAGTTTGTTGATTCAACCCTTTTTCGCAATGGATTTGCCTTCGTCGGTCCTTTAGAGGCAACTCCCCTCATTCCGGGTGGTCGCACAATAAATATTTTTGCGTGTCACTCTCCTTGTTACGCGGGTGCGCTGGCCACCAAAATCAGATGACCTCAAGTCGATTCCCGTAGAGGGACGGGAGTGTATCGGGTTGGCGGATCAGCGGGAGGAATGGCCGAAAATGGCCATCCCTCATTCCACGCTGATTTATCGGGGGGGCGCTTCGATTTGTTTGACTTGGTTCGGCTTTTGCGGAAAATCTATTTCATACCGTAATCCATTAAAATTCACAATTGGCTAATTTTCTGAATTCACAAACTGGGCAAGCTAGCAAACACCCTTTAGGAAAGCCTAATTTTTTCTAATTATGTGAAATAAAGAAGTGATTTCCATAAGGCTTTTGATTTGTTTCGACTGGGTTAAAGGCAATCTAGCAAAGATCTTTGAGGAATCGCGGTACTGGGCTTTTAGCGGGGGGGGGGGGCTTAATTCTTAGTTTACTGCCTGCACAATAATATTTAGTGTTTTTTTAGTATTATTTTGATTGTTAACAAGTTCTAAAAAGATTTTAGCAAAATTTGCAAAATTTTAATTTTTTTTTACCGTTATTAGTAATTTTTCTAATTCTACTTGACAATACCATGTTCCCGATTTCCTTCCAGCTGAAACAGGCTTCCCTTAAAACGAAAAGACCCCGTAAAGTTTTACGGTGTTTTTGGTGGAGGCCGTGGAAAGCGGGAGGAGCGGGGGTGTCAAGAGGAAATTTCGGAGCTCACCACTCCGGGCGCAACACTTAAAAGTTGTGTCTTCCGCGACATTTACTCACCCAATAGGCGGAGGCGGGATGGGGTGGGAAAGCGAGGAAAGCGGAGGAACTTGCCAATTTGCAGGGAACAAACTACTAGAAATCATGGGTTTTGAGGCTCCCTGCAGGATTTCCATAAGTTAATTTTCTGCTTTTCTAATACCTTGAAATTGCCCTTCTTTCTCCCATTAAATCTTTATTACGGTAGCTTAAAGGGACCGCGACAGACAAAAATTCCGGATCTTCAAATTTAAGGTCACTCTCTCTCTCTCTCTCTCGCTCTCGCTAAATAGATTAGGCAGACTATGCTTCTGCGTTCTTTACGATGCAGATGAATCTCGGCACGCGGAGCTTGTTCTTGCTCTTCTTCCAGCTCGAGCTCAATCGTCCGGCTACGGAGCCATAGCGCCCCGATCCACTTTTTCCGCCCCAATCCAAATGACGACGCGGCTATCCAGACCCCATATGGCCTATAGGGGTGGGCAGTTGGTACAACACGATATGTCTGTTCCATGCATGGCATAGTTAGTATAATTCTCTATTGGCTACTAGTTTCCAAAACGGCAAAGTCAAGCTTTCGAAGCTTTCGAATCTTTGACTTTGATGCGTAAAACTTTTCAGACCAGGCGAAGCTGCCTTTTCAGCCTTCTAGCTTTGGAAGTTGGTTTGAAGCAGCAGCTTCTAAGCTAACTTGTTTTATCTAAAAACTCAAACTTTATTTTTTCAAGCTGGCTTCGATTTTCGAAGCCTATAAGCTTGTGGAGCCGGCTTAGTTTTTAAGCTCGCTTCGCTTACAAGTCCGTACTAACATTAGGCTGTGCGACAAGTTTTTGAAGCCAGATTCCAAATTCCAGCCCTCCAAAAATTACCTACACCAATTCCAGTTATTTTGAGGAGTAAAGGGGGCGCGGGTTATTTGCGGGGGCAGCTCGACGTGAATGCAAATTACAGGCTGCCACCATCGCTTCCCCATTGCCTCGGATGGAAAATTCACTTCAGAGTGCTTCCTCCCACCCATTCTACGGTCTCTATTGTTCCCCCCGTATGGCATTTTTGGGAGTGACGGCAGGGAATGTGAATAGTTACCTACAGGAAAAGCCAATTTCCTGTGCCCGTTCATCCGTCTAGTGGTGTATCTCGTACTCGGACTGCGGTCCGAAAAACCGTTCTACCGCAGTTTTTGGTATCAAAATTCCGCGATGCTACAAAATACGGATTTCAGGGTTTTTTTCAGTTTTGAAAGCTTTCCAAATACTTAGCTATGGAAAAAGCCAATCCACTTTGCCCGTCTATGGGTGTACGTCGTACACCGCAAAAACGAAGGATGCAACACCGTTAATCCCTTCGAATAGGTTCCCTCCGCCCCCCCCCCGCTAATCGCCTTGCTAAATTGCGTCCCCCACTTTTGGCATTGCCGCGGCCTTGAATTTGAGATTTACTTGGCTTCCTGGCATTTACTTGTTTCTCGTATTGGCATTTGTTGACCCGTCAAAATTCCGTTACTTTCCTATAAACGGCTCAACCGCGAAATTTTTTCCGTTTTTTTATACGCTCGATTACGCTCTATTACTACAGACACCCTCTTCAAGATGCATTGTTGATCTCGTCACGCTAGCTAGCTAGATCTAGCTACGCTACGCTACAGTTTACGAGCTTTTTAGGCCTCGTCGTCCCAAAATTTTCCTTTTTTCCCGAATCAAAATTTAGCGTCGACTCAGCTTTTTCTATTTCTATTGACATTCCCCGTTTTACGCAGAAAAACTCCTTTCCACTACAAATTACGCATTTTTCAGGGTCGATGAGCCCACCAAGAGCCTTAATATTATTGCTGCCAATATTCTTCAATGGTATTCACGGTAAGCTCCTATGATTATTGTTCTTTGAGTTTCTGGTCGCCTTACTACTTATTCCGGCCCCGTTCCAAGCTCAGTTACAGTAGCCGGGGTTACGGTCTATCTTGGTGAGGCTTGAAATGGTATCGTGAATCGTACTTTCCTTTTGCAATCCTACATGGTTTCATCGTTTCTCCCGCTTGCCAACCCCTTTAAAGTGATCCGAACGGCCTGAATTGCGTCCAAATTAGACTAGGAACAGCGTGGCTAGCTACCCTATTGGGTTGTGGGTGAAAGAGTTGACAATACGGATTCCCGGGGGGATGTGGGGAAGGGGGAAAGGGTAATTTGGATGATTGGTGCAATTTGTAGTATGTCCGCTCCCATGTCCCACTACTCCCTTTTCGGATGCTCCAATCAACACCTATTAGGGACCCGGGCAGGGTGGCAGTGGGGTATTTGAGATTTGAATAGTAGTGCGGTGGAAAGTTGGGGATTTTAAAGGGAAGGTGACAGAAAATATCGAAAGAGAAAAATCGAGAGAGACAAAGAGCGAGAGAGAGAGAGAGAGAGAGAGAGAGAGAGAGAGGACGAGAGAGCGCGCGCGAAGTCCAAGCACATACTCTAATCCTTTTTTTCAGCACTTCCGCCTCATTCAACCGTGGAAAACACAGAGGTCGAGATGGGAATCGGTACGTCTTCAATTTCGCTACAAACTACAACTTACAAAATAGAAAATTTCATAAAGTCGTTATCATTCTTTTGAATTTTTTAGGCCATTCAACAACCCTCCAATGTAACGCCCTCACCAACTCTTCACAACGAGTGATTTGGTTCAAAGATGGGGCAATTGTAGCAAAGTTGAATAGGTCTGTTCTCTCTCTATCTCTATTTCTCTCTTTCTCTATCTCTCTCTCTTTCTCGCTCTCTCTTGCTCTCTATTTCTTCATTAAAACCCCCGATTTTCCAGCACCCAAGCAGCCATCTACCTCGATCGGCCACCGGCCAACCGTGAGAAATCGATTACGGTAGGCAAACCTTTCCATTTTTGTTTAGTTTCTTTGTTTTTATAGTTTCCTGGAAGTCTGACAATCCGCAACGCTACCCTGGACGATGCCGGAAAATACTGGTGTCAAGAGGAGTCGAGCGGAACCAAAGGGGATGTTTATGAGATAAAGGTTAGTGTTCGAGAGGCTTCAGTTTCACCGCTGGCTTGCCTTGAACCCAAAAATCCCAATGGTTTCTGAAGAATCTCGGCTGACGCAAAAATTTAGCTAGCCTACGTGAAGCTCCATGAGGTCCGCGAGATTCGGGTCAAGCCTACTGCCCCTAAGCTTGGGCAGAGGATCGCGATGTACTGTCCGAACGTGACGCTCGTCGGCGGGCCGGCACTTTTGTATTGGAATTTTGTAGGTTTTAGGCGAGAGCGAGAGAGAGGGAGAGAGGGGGAGAGTACGAGAGTGAGAGAGAGAGAGAAAGAGAGAGGCAAGGATATCACTTATATATAAATTGCTAATGTCCGTGCGCCCGACCGTCCGTACGGATCGCTGCGGGACCCCCATGCCCCCAGGTCAACGTGCCCCCAGGGCATGTCCCGGGGAAAGGGGGAGGGGTCAGAGGTCACAGGGGCCGTTCGCGCATTAATGGTAGCAGAAATCCCCAAACAAAAGAGTAATTGTTTCGCGACGGTTTTTATTGCTTTTTTTAGTATTAAAGAAGGTTTAGGACTTTGTTTTAAAGGGTATTCTAGCCATTACGCTATTATTAGATGTTTTTTTAGTATTAAAGAAGGGTGAATAACTTTCTTTCAATGGTATTATAGCCATTACGCGTTTCTTAGATGTTTTTTTAGTAGCTAAGAAGGGGTACAACTTTGTTTCAAGGGTATTCTAGCCATTCCGCATTTCTTAGATGTTTTTTTAGTAGCTAAGAAGGGGGAATAACTTTCTTTCAAGGGTATTCTAGCCATTACGCGTTTCCTAGATGTTTTTTTTAGGCTCGAAGAAGGGTACAACTTTGTTTCAAGGGTCTTCTATGTTTTTTTATTCCTAAAGAAGGTTATAGCTTTGCTTCTGGGGGGGTGCGTTAACCATTAGACTTCCCTTCTCTTTTTGTTTAGGATCAGCTACGGATGTTGGGGGGTTTCTTTCAGGGGGAATAGGAGGAGTGGAAGGTTCTTTGGTTTTGGAGGAGGTGCATAGGTAGATCACGGAAGGTCTCCGCGCCAAGCGGGAAATATACTAAAGAGAATGGGAAGCACCCTGTATTGCCTTGCCCCCCGGGAGGGCCAGGCAAAAAAAGCCGCGAAGCGGCTTTTTTTTGACTGGTAAAATTTATAATTCCAGGACGGCGTCCCCGTAAACTGGGATAACCACGACGGGAACCTGCGGCCATACGATCGTGATCGAATGCTGGTCATTGAAGAGCTAAAAAATACCGAAGCCGGCGTCTTTGAGTGCTTCTATAATCACTGGACCGGTCCGGTAGCTTTCCGGATGCGGATACAGCCTATGGAAGCTGATCCGGCATACGATGGTGGGCTTGAAAACCCTTAATTCCGTTTGAAACGACGAAAACATGAAAAACAATAATATTTTTCTTTTCAGACGGGATGCTGATCTACACCCTAAACTACAACAACGCGATGTTCCGGCATGCTCTGTTGTGCTTTATCACGATTTGTTTGGTGGCTAGGTGAGGTTGAAGAGAGGGAGAGAGAGAGAGAGAGAGAGAGAGAGATGAGAGAGAGAGAGAGCGAGAGAGAAAAAGAGGGAGAGAGAGAGCGGGACAGAGCGATATAGAGAGAGAGGGCGTGCGATAGCGAGCGGAGGAGAGGGAGAGAGAGAGAGAGAGAGAGAGAGAGAGAGCGAGAGAGTTCTTGACTTGCGTGTCCCTTTCCTTAAAAATCGTGGAACCTCGCTGATTTAAGCCTATTTAGCGCCTTCCTGCTAACCTACGTGCTGGTAGCGTGCTGCCGCCGGGATAGCCGACTGACGTTTTGGCCGCAAAGGTACGGTATTTTCGCTGTTTTTCGGTTCAGATGGCCCAGATTTACCACCTTTCTATAGCATAATATTTTGTTGTAATTTTCATATAATCCTTCTCTCCATTTTCCAGGGTCTACTCGAGTCTGGGCCCCGGTTTCCGGAAGCCCATCTTTCCGCAGCCCGACTACGTCGTCCGCGCCCACTAGAGATCTTTTTCACATTGTAAATTGCCTAAATCCATGTTTTGAGCGGGTCCAGATCCTCAGTATTCTTGTAAATAGCGATATATAGTCTTTCTCTACTCTCTATTCCACAAAACAACCATTGACGGGTCGCTTTCTTGTTGTTTTTTTGTATATGAACTTAATAAAATTTTGCTATGGAATTATTGAAGAATTTTTTATTGAAAAGACAAGGAGATAGCCAAAAAGAAAAAACAACAAACAATGAACTCTCATTTAAGACAGCTAGAGTATAACAAGAGAGAGAAAGAGAGATAGAAAGAGAGAGAGAGAGAGAGAGAGAGAAAGAGAGAGAGAGAGAGAGAGAGAGAGAGAGAGAGAGAGAGAGAGAGAGAGAGAGAATGAGAGAGACAAAGAGAGAGAGGGAGAGAGGGAGGGAGAGAGAGGGGGAGATAGAGAGAGAGAGAGGGAAAGAGAGAACGTGCCAGCCGGCGAGAGAGAGTTAGGTGAAATCGAAAGTCCGACCGGCAGAAACACAGAATTATAATAATAATATTTATTCTCACACAAGTTTCACAAAGTCGACTGAATTATAACGATCGCTCCGAAAACGGCGAATTTTTTAAGGCATCCGCTTGTCAATCAGCCTTCCCTTGTTCCCACCAGCCCTGTATTTGCCCTGCACACTCGAGATAGTTGGTGCCACAATTTTGAGAGGTCGTCACAGGCCATCCTGCCTTCTGCCAATTCACCCGTTTCCGCCCAATTTCTTGGTTTTTCTTAAGAATTGAACTTTGAGAGTCCAAAGAGCATCCATCTACCCCTTATGCCCTATCATTAGCGTGCGCCATCCTTGATCCCGACCTCTCAACTTGATGACTTTTCTTTAGGGGAGGTTGAGTGTGCAGTGTCTGGCGCTTCTTATTTTGCGCTCTTTCCGTAGTCGAGAAATTTTTGTTAAGGACACGCATCAAACGTCATAATAGGCAGTTTTAGACCCTGGAAATTTTAATTTTTTTAACTCATCGGTGAAGATTTTGCTCTCCTGTCTTTATCTCTCGCTCTGTTTCTCTCTCTCTCACTCTCTCTCCCTGTCTGTCTCTCTGTTTGTCTCTCTGTCTGTCTGTCTGTCTCCCCTCTCCTTCCCCCGCTATGGATCAGAGTCGATAGTCACAAATAGAGAGAGAGAGAGAGAGAGAGAGAGAGAGAGAGAAAGAGAGAGATAAACGAAGACACCCTCAAAATAATCGTCCAAATGACAACATCGCCCAAGTCACTTCCGCTTCTTGACCCCCCTTCCCTCGATGTCTCCCTTAATCCACCCGCCGACCCAAAAAATGTCGCCTTTTTTGATGCTCCTCCTCCTCTCCGAAAGAATGTCTCTGGAATAGCCGAATTGAATTAATTAAAGCCCACCCCAGTTGCCGGCAGTTTCTTTGGCTGGTGCTACCCAGAACTGGAATTACTTCTTGTTAGGCCGCGAGGTTAGGTTATCGATTTTACGGTTTGGTATACATTTACGGGTCTCAATGAAAACTCCCTGACACAGACCCGAATTTTTGCACTTGTTTTTATAAACTGCAAACCTTTGAATTTTTTTTGCCTTTTTCAGGAATTGACGTACTTAACGATCTGCTGATATGCCTGATGCGGATGAAACCAGCGAGGCAAAGAGAAGTAAGTGTTTAAATAGTTTTAGGTATCGAAACGTTTCCAAGCGTGGTTTGCTTTTTTCGTATTTTGTATCCTGTAAATGGCAAATAGACTCAGGTGCTTAAGCCGAATCTTGAAAAATGAGAGTAGATCGCACTGGTGCCGCGCGGTTTTTTGTCGATCCTTTTTTGCAAGTGCATTCGTTATAAAAACCTAGAAAGCACAGTATTTTGGTTACGCTCTCCAAATCATGGGGTTATAATTCGCTTATTGGGGGGATTTCCGGTTTATAGTTTCGCAAAGGTCCTTGACATTCTCGAAAATGCCGAGCCGCGTCAACCAGTGATTTTCCAAGGTTGCTGAGGGAATCTACTATTTACAATATGATCTTTCAACTAATTCTTTTATATTCTCAAGCCTTGATGGACTTCAAGTTCTCGAAAATCTCCCTCTAAAACCCTTCTCCAAGCGATATATTTGTCAAAGGGCGCTCTCGTCTCAAGATATTCGAGATGGACAGTTGATGGGCGGCTCCCGCTCTCTATTTTTTCCGGTAAATCTCTAATCCACCAAAAATCCGCCCTTCGGAGCGGCTGATCGGATTCGGAATGTGATTTTTCTCCTGGCCCTTTTTGAAAAATCTATTTCATCTTTATTTATCACCAAAAGTTGGCTTTTTAGGTATACTTTTTCTTTTCTAAGTCTCTCTCTCTCTCTCTCCTTCTCTCTCTCCCGCTCACGTTGTCTTCATAAGGTATTTTAGGTCGCATCCCTGGCCCAGAGCCAATTTTTTTCACGCCATTTCTCTGCTTCCCTCTTTCGCTCTCTTTCTCTCCCTCTCTCTCTCTCTCTCTCTCTCTCTCTGTCAGGCTCTCTTCCTCTCTACTCTCTCTTTCACCCCTTCAGAAGACGTCCATCTTCTGTGGCAAAGTGACAACAACTCCCCGGTCCTTCCCATTCCATCCCTAGGCCGCTTCTTTCCCCCTCGAAAACCCCAATTTCGCACGGCCGCTCCCCTCTTCTCATCCCACCAACAAATTCCCCGGCCGGACCACCAAATTTGCCGTACGAATTTAGATGTTAATTAGGGTTTACAAGAATTTTTATATTTGCATTTTGAACGTTTCAAAAATAAGGCTTATCGGCTTTTAGCAAGGTTTGCTGGGTCAAAAAGGGCGTGTTATGCTTGAAGCTGTAAGGTTCAAGCTGTTCTAGTTTCTGTCACGCGAAAGGGAGGTTGAGAATTTTTCATTTCTGGTAGGCGAAGGCATTCGAAAAGACTTGTCACGCCCACGGCCGCGAAATTCAGTAAATTCCGAAACATTCCGTTAACGCCGCCAAATAACGGCAAATTTTTTCCCCTTTTCCATTGTTTCGGTTAGAATGCGCAAAATTCCGCTGCTTTCCGCGATATTCTGCTTGATTCCGCTGAATTCCGGGCAAATTTAGCATGAATCCGTTAAAATGGACGAAAATCCGCTTCTTTCCGCTACCTTCCATTAAATTACGCTTCTCTTTGTGCACAGCGTATTTTACGCATTTTATAAAAATGTTTCTAGTGTTTACATGTTTCTTAAGCTTTCGACTTTCCCGTAACGTCCAACTCATTATTTTATGTCGCGGTGAGAGCGTAAACGTCCGGAGAGCTTCATCTGGTTGAGTATACCCCGGGGGGCACGACCTGCCTTCCCCAATAAACCCACCACGTACTCCTCTTTCTAGCCACATACACCACCCAGAAAACACACCCAGACCACATTTGAATTTATGACCGACCGACCGACCTTGGCCCCTCCCGGAAAAATCTATTGCTTGGGCCGTATTTTAAGGATTTATTGAGGGAGGCGATAGAGAGCGAGAGCGAGAGAGCGAGAGAGACAGAGATATTGTTATCGTTTTTACCCTCAGCAACCCGTCCCCAAACCGTTTTTCTCGGTTTCGAAATTTCCCAAACAATCGCTGTCCGATTCAATTTCCCAAACCCTTAAAATTGGCTGGCCCTTTGCCTGCAGCTTTTGGAATTCTACAAGAATCTCTGCTATCCGTTCCTTTATCTCGCTCTCTCTCTATCTCTCTCACTCTCTTTCTTTCCCTATCTCTCTCACTCTCTCTCATTTTTCCGATCCCAAAGAATCTCTGCTGGTCCTCCTTTTTTGGTACTGCCGATGTCTTGCTCTCCTGCTCCCCACCCTGACGTCCGGAAGTAATTTGCCCTCACCAGGGCACTTCCCCATCATAGACCTTTGTTCTTGGAGGACAGCTATTTAAGAAGCTTCTTTTCTAGAGCTGATTTATCCAAGAAAATTCTAGTTTACGGGCTTTCGGATTAATTTCATGGCTAGCTCTCGTCGACGAGCCGATGTTTTGGTCTTTCCAGTTCGAGATTTTGATTTTCTACTATTTTTAGGGTAAAATTTTAGATTTTCTTGTTCTGTGGATTAAGCCTATCATTTGCTAAAATTTACAACTCTGCAGCGCAACGCCAAACCGCTATATTAATTTTGGGAAGTCAGGGCCCAGAAATATGCTAATTTTAACTTTTCATGCATTTTTTAATACCATTTTTTGTCTATTTACAGCACCCAGATTTGCAAAACGGGATTTCAGTCCTATAAAACGGTCGAAATTCTGCATCTCCAACCCCCAACCACCAAACAATTTGGGTGCGTATCAAATCGAATTTTGCCTCCCGCCGGGTGGACCCGACCCCCCACATGGCCCGCCCTATGAGGGCATCAAATTTGCGCTTTTTTGGCGGGGTTATGCGGGCATCTTTCCAATTTTTGGATTTTTTCTGGTCTTGCAAGAAAGAGGCGAGCCGGAAGTATTCAAACTTTTTATTTTGTGTTTTAAAGGCACTGAAAAGCGCGGGATTTTGGCTATAAATGCCATCCGGATCCAACCCTATCCTGTGGAAGCTCTAAAAAATTAGCTGACGCCTATTTTCCTACCTTTGCAGCTAATTTTGTTAAAATTAAATCCATTAAACGCCAGAAAATCGTCGTTTGTTAACTCAAAATTCCTAAAAAGCTATTAAAAGGCATTTAAATACTTACAATCATCAAACAGAAATTTTTGAATAGAAGTTAATTCTTATTTTATCACTAAAGAGCCTATGTAACTGTTTCAAAGCCATTTTATTGATAAAAACAGTCCAAGAAACTATCTAAAAAAGCTATTTTTAAAATGTGTTTTTAGAATTTTATTACGATTTTTATCTTTTCCAAGCTTCTTAATATCGCAATTTTTAATTAGTGCCACTGCCGTGATTTGTGGTTTCTCTATTTCTCCATCCATCATAACAAACCCTCCAGCTTTGACAGCAGCTGTTCCGGATTTCCCGCTTTTCCTCGTAAAATGGCGGATGGGACCCCAATTTCCCGTCGTCATCGATCAGCCTTTTCCGTGTTATTCCATTCCATTCCACCTGCTCGTCCAGCCTAACTTCCGCTCTGAATTCTTGTAAATAATTCCGCTGATTTGTAGTAACTCATGTCGACGTCGCCGCGAAAACATTCAGCCACCTCGTGGGCAAAGAGTAAGCTTTTTGAAGGGGTGCGGACAGGGTGGGAGGCGAGAGAGAGAGAGAGAGAGAGAGAGGGAGAGAGAGGGGGATATTGAGACGCTATCAGGTATACCGCGAGAATTAGGGAGGCTTAAAAAGGTACTTCTGCATTATCGGGGGGTGGGAGAAGGAAACTAATTTTATTCCTTATGCTTCAGTTTCTACTAGAAATGGGACTGCTTCCAAAAGCTTTTTACGATCCTTAAACGTAAAAACCGTGTGGGCAAGATTCGATTCTCCCCCCCGATAATGCAAAAGAACTAGAGAGGCAAAGAGAGCTGGAGAGAGAGAAAGCGAGAGAGAGTGAACGAGAGAGATGGTGAACGAGAGAGGGAGAGCGAGAGAGAGCGAGACAGAGAGAGAGGGAGAGAGGGAGAGATAGAGATTAAGAAATGACAAAGATGGCGGGAGCGAGAGAAATAGACCACTGTTTTTTTTGATAAACCTAGCTGGCACGCTGGCATCAAAACCCCCCAAAATCTACCCCAATTACCAAAAGATGCCAAAATCGACACGCGCAGTCAATTTCCTGTCCCAATCCTCCTCCTCCTCCTCGATTCCATGTGGCGCCCCCGGTCCATTTGCGATGTGAAACAGCTGCTAGGAAACGAGATTCACCACCCCGCTATTTTGTGGTCACTAGCTGTTTAACGTCAATTCGCAAATTTGGAGATCTTTGGCCCGGGAATTCCCTGTTTTTGAAGTTGATCAAGCTGGCTGCGCAAATGGCCAGCGGTGTCTACTCTCATGCGGCTGTCGGCCGTACCGCCTATAGATATCGTAAATTTTATGGTGTTTCTAGATTCTTTTCTAGGTTAAGCTTTCAATTTTTATCCCATTGAAAGTTCAGCGTTTTGCGTGTCGCAAAAAGTTTGCATTTGCGATTTTTGCCGCTCTATTTGGTGGATGTACGAGGCCATTGGAGTATCGTAATAACTGCGTAACCGAGCGTAGCGTAGTTAAGGCGATCGTGAGGTTAAGTAATGCTTCTCATCATGGCGTAGCTTTCCGTAGCACTGCGTAGTGTGGCAGAGAATTACGTAGTTTGACGTAGCGCAGCGCCAGTTATAAAAGCCAGCTGCTTACCCATGGAAGTTTTAGCGCTGCGTAGCGTCGCGAAGTTTCCCCCCATGCGTAGCCCAAAGCCATCTGTAGCATATCAGTATTTAGCGTAGGGTTTCGGACGTAGTAGAACGTAGACTAACGTAACGTCAGACAGCGAACTTGCGGTATCGCCACGCATCGTAATATGGCAAAAGTAATAGGGTACCGTAGCAAAAGTTGTGAAATCCAGTCGTATCTGAATTATTAAACGCATTTTGACGCACTGTTATCTTAAGATACCGTAGCGTATCGTGACGTAGTGTAGCGTAGTACCGTAACGTGATGCTATCAAACACAGTCTTACCTGCAATATCACTTCGTAGCTGATTTTGACGTAGTTACCGTTAGCCTAAGATCAGGTAAGGTAGCATAGCGTAATGTAGCGGCATTTTATGAATTTCCAGCGTATCTGATTGAATTGGTAGCATATTCCGGTGTAGCGTAGCGTAACCTACCGGCGCGCCACGCCACGTAGTATTTAGTACTTCTTCATCTTTATAACTAGCAAAAAACGTGGTAGCCGTATCGAATTTCGGTGCGATCACAGACCTAATACCCACGTCAAACAGGCTACCAAGACAAATAGCCCTAACATCGGGTTAAAAAGTCCCCCAAGCCGAGGGGCTCTTCGACGAAAATTGTGGGCAAATACAGGCAGCCAGGGCCCGTCATCCCCTCAATTTTCGCCATTCCTTGTCGGCCTGACAATTCCCTATATTTTGCCCATCTTCTAAGCCACACTAAAAAAATGCGCAACGGTCATACGGTAGCGCGGAGCAAGATAAGCAATGCTGGAGGTGGAGTATTTCCCGGGTTTTTGACACCTAAAGTATCTTTGCCGGCACGCTGCCTTAAATCGGGAGAAATTTAAATCTTACAAAAATTGCTTTAAAATGAACAATTTCTACTTTTTCAGAAGTGGCCCTCGGCACCTATCAAGATCCCTACAACAAAGAGGAATTGGAACATACACTCAAAGGTTCGTTAGCATTTCTCACATTACCTATGCGGCAGACAAGTCCAAAATTCGATTTTTCTGGGGTAAAAAGGAGCTCAGAGCTGGGAGTTAGCACCTGGGGGCTTGGATCTAGGAGCTGGGAGCTGGGATCAGGCTGGTCGAAATGGGTTTAGGGCGCGGCAAGTCCGGGTTGCGGTCACCAGCTCCATCCGCCAACGTCCGGCACGTCCGGTTTTCCTTATGCTTCCAGCACCCAGCTCCCAGCTACCACTCGGCAAAATTTTCGTTCGCTCGATCTCTAGCTAACCCCGAGCTTCCAGCTCTCAACTCCAATTTATAAATAAAAAAAATTAAATTGGGATCCAGGGCACTCTATCGCAATTTTCTCATTAGTATACAATGCCAAAAACCGTGTAATAAACCCATTTTCAGGCCGTGAACTGTACCTATTCGTCATTTTCTACACGGTGGCCGTGGTGCTGATCGTGCTAATGTTCGAGATGTGCATGCCGGTGCTTTTCAACCCAGAATACCCGAATCATAGCTAAAAATCTTTTTTTTTTGCTTACCTATCTACCAAAAACTGACCGCGACGCAGCCTTAAATTACCAAAATCCTCGTTTCTAGCGCAATAATCATGATTTTATTTGTATTATCCTACTCCTTGTACAATTCCAACTCCTAAATTTTTCTTTTTAATTCGACGATTCGTGGTACATTTTATTGACGGGTATTTCAAAGCAATAAATCGTTAAATATGGATTCTTGGGATTTTACAAACCAAGTTTAGACCCCGAGTTTTTAATAATTTTTTTGCAAAAAACGTCTATTTATCAACACTAGTGAAATTTTAATGTATATTTTATTGATTAGCTACTTCATATTATATTTATTAATGAGTATAAAATCATATTATTCGATTACGCCATCAAACTCAACGCCCATAATGCCGGGGTCCGCCCTCCTCGTCGTTTTTCTCGATCAACTCTCCCAAATATCCGACAACAAAGTCGTACTCCTTCTTCCGGTCCATTTCTCGGATCATGTCAGCGGCAGTACTAGGCTTTAAATATACCTTTGATGATTCAACACTTACCGCGCGTTATTCACATACCCAAAATTGTCATCGTCAAACCAGATATCACCCGGCCCATTCACCCGATCCACAATCTTGGGCCAGATGGGTCTGAAAGCAGCTTTAATCAGTTAATACCTTGCAATAAAATCTAAAAACCGTTTTAGCGAATTCATACCCCGCAAAAAGACAAAAATTACGCCGGCTCAGACGGGGAAAGTTATCTACATATGATCGTTCAAGCCTGTTGAGCTTGAATATACTCATCACCACCATGGCGGGGGGTCGAACCGGGGATGTGCGGCCCGGGGACCGCACTCACTATCCACTAGGCCACGCCCATCAGGGAACAGGAGTGGGGCAGGCGTAGAAGAGGGATGGGTTCTCACCCCCGACCCAAAGGCCGGGTATTTAGTAAAAGCAGGCCAGTTTGCTGATTGTCGTGGTTTCTCGTTTCAAACCTTTTTGGTGAATTGGGAATGATTATTTTAATTGCACAAACGATAGAAATACCTTGTCTATATATACCATATTTTTTTTTAATAAATTTACAAAACCGTTGGCACGTGCTAAAAATTAAAATTGCGTACACCATCTTTCTAAAGTTGTTAATTCTCTTTATCCATATTAATGTACTGAAATAACTTACTTACAATAGAAAAATCTACCGAAAAACCGTAAAAATATGTTGGCTCTTTGGCATTATCGGGGGTTGGGAGTGTGTACCAAATTTTCTGCTCAAGGAAAAAGGCACAAAAATCTAATTTACTGGAAATTATAAATTTTACCGTTTTAAATAACTTTATTAAATTGCTTTACTAAATTGATTAAATTCCAACTTGCCAGCGATGGTGCCGATCGGTTTGACGCGCTGGTGGACACGACTATCGAAAGTGTTCCTCGTCTCCTGCTTGAACCGCAGAAATTCGACGAGGTCATCCCGGCTTAATTCGGCTTCGCAAAGCGATAGAAAAATACAAATAAAGATCAGTGGAGTTTTCATTGCAGTAAACTCCAAAACACAAAATACAGCTAGTTTTGAGCGGAAAATAGATCGCCAAACTCAGCCGGATCTCCTGACCGGGCGGGAAAAGCCACCGGCCAATCCGGTCTTGACCCCCGAGACGGTGGCTCGAGAAACCCGATTCCCAGATAGTACTCGCTACGGCAAAATTTTGATTTGAGAGCTGGGGCTCGGGCGCTGATATTCTGTATTTTTGAGGCTATAACGTTTCCTTAAAGTATATTTCTAAATTGAAAGACGGCGTTAAATAGCGACCAATTGGCGTAAAAGCACAGAAATTTTGCGAGAATGAGGCTCATCCTCATTATTTTTATATCATTTTTTGAAGCAGTAATGGCTCGAGGTAACTATTAACTTTTTATATACATTAACGATGATTATTACAGCTCCTTTTCTGAGGGATCGACCAAGAGGACTCGGGCTTTTGCAATTACCTACAGGTAAAAATGTTTATTGCTTTTATAAACAAAAAAATGCCAAAAAGTCAGCAAAATGTAATATAACGTAATGCAATGTAATAAAACGCATTAATACCCACTTAATGAGTTTCTATAGGCATGACCGACGAGCGCTCCGGCTTCTTCTTCCCCGGCCTAACCGTGGCCGGCGACAAGGCCGGCGAGAAGCCCCAATCCGTCCCCGATGTCCATTTGCCCGGCCAGAAAATGGACTTTACTGGACGGTACCTTAAATCTAACCCAAATACCTTCAACTTACGATTTTTAGCTCTGCCTTCAACCCATTCTCGCACATCGTTTCTGCCGTCTATAATGAAGATCTCGTCGATTCTTGGGGCACTGGGTTTGCTGTTAATGTAAGTATTCTATAAAACTCCTCAAAAATAACTATGATTAGAAAAAACAATAAAAACCTATAAATCTTAGCCTAAACCTATATATTACGACTTTATAGGCCGTCAACAATCACAACCTCGGCGTACGCCGCAACTTTGACCAATTTGCCGATGCCCCGTTTTTCCGGTAGAATTTCTAACGCTAAAATATCGTGATACCCTAGAAATGATGGCCAATACCAGCCTTTCATTTCTGCCGCCGCCGTCGGCGCTGAATATGACTACTCGAAGATTCGCGAGGTTTCCGGTAACCCTATCAAAAGGAAAAGCACCGAAAAGCCTAGGCCACTTTGATTTACCGATCCCCGGCGTGAACGAGCTGTTCGACTTTGATGGCAGGATTATGTTGAAGGGTAAGGAAAAAGGCTAAATTTCACTACTATAAAAACATGCTTTTTAACTTTTATCTTACTAATTTATACATTTCCTCTCTAGGTGGTGGAAACGGAATCCTAAACTCGGCCATGGAATTCCCGCTTACACTGTCCGACCCGAACGAACGCGCCCCCTACACCTTCAAATACCTCAACTTCATGGCCGATCGTCACATGCAGGTATGTTTTTATTAACCCAAAAAAAAACAATCAAAAACCTCCCACTTTAGTACGGCCACGTCGTCCCCAACGTCAACCTTATGGTCATCCCGAAAGACAAGATTATGGAGCGTCTCCGTCAAAATCGCCTCAACCCCACGATGATCGGATGAAAGATAAATGGGCCTGGCCCGCTAATAATAATAATGATGTTTTTTTCGGACCGTCTGGCTTTCTGACTCACCGTTTTTAGATGTACGTTGTAATGGGCGATCGGGGCGCGTGGGTCATTTACATGTAAACACGTGGCCCTTCGGCCAGCGCGCCCGATTGCTTTTCCTTGATTTTTGCGGCTTAATAAACCGGTTGAGTTGTAGATTTAAGAGTTTAGGAGGGCTTTTATCTACATGATATAAAAGGAGGTCGCTGTTTTCCCTTATTCTCGCTCTCTCGTCGCTCACTCGACTCTTCTCCTGTGGATCCCGGGGGTAGCTTTTATAGATGTTGAGTGGCGTGAGCAGCGGAAGCGTTGGAATCTGGAAAATGGCGTTAAGTGTTTGAAATCCTGGGGTTAGACGACTCGGTCCTGGATGTTCGTTGATCGGTGCCGGAAGTGGTGGTGATCAATAGACTTGTAGCTTGCATAACATGCATTAAGGCTGATTTAACGGGTTTTACATAGATTTTAGACATTCCTGGCAGTCTACGCCTTACATAAGTTCAAGTTTTAACTACCTCAATAGTGTTTACAGTTTCGAGCTGATCGCTGCTGCGCTTACTTTTAGAGTTTCCATCTTCTACTCATTGCAAAAATCCGCGAAATTACTCGAAATAGTCATCACGGAAAGATAAAACAATCTATTCCATGTAATTGTCGATTCCGATGGATTATTGCATGAATGTAAAGTTTTCTGGCTAACCCTTGATTTTTTCAATTTAGCCTCGATCCACAACGCCAGCTCCTCACACAAGCAGGCTCCTGGAACGATGGAAGAGACATTTCAGCTAGCGTTTTATTTTCTTCGTTTTCAATCTTCGTAGAAAACTAACAAAAGTACCCAAGGATTTATAGAAATCGTAAAAGCAAAAAAAAAGTTTGGAATTACCGAAATCCGAAACCAATAAATTTTCGAGGCAGTACGTTGACACCGGTGCCGAACAAGGGTAAATGTTGCCTTGTGGAACCCGGTTTTCCGACATCACGATGTTTCGAATTTTTCGCAACTCAAAATTTTCAAAAAAAATCGCTGCTGACCTTTTCCCATAAATTAACTTTTTTCACTAAGCGTTTAGGTTGATTTTACAATGGGATCAGCGCTTGATCAACATGAAGAAAAAGCTAAGAGACGTAAAAAGAGTTGGTTTCTACTGCTAAACCACATTTCTTGTTTAGGTCGCCGCTCGAAGCTAGGCGACGGTTTCCTTTCCGGCAGCGGAGACACCCACGTCGGTAATGCCTTTGATTCTACGTATTTTCTGTTGTTTTTTAGTTTCCATCGATGGCCATGTCGAGAAGTTGCGTTCGGCTCTGGTGGGATAACCTTCCTTTGACTTTTTCTTTCCAAATACCAACTTGCCTTTCTCGGGTATTTTTGGAGTAGCTGAAGTTTTGCTCGGTCAGCTCTTTCCGCCCTTTTGCCAAGCCGCTCGCCGCATGCTATTGACTGCGGTTCCCATCGTACGCTGGTGGACTGGCATCATACGACATGCCATTGCATGTACACAACCTCGCCAGTAGCCCCTAGACTGCCAACCTTTTGTGATCTGAAAAAAACAACTTTTACCTTTCCAAAAAAGCAAGGATCTGAAACAGCATCCTACAGGGAAGGCGGGATCATCAAGCCCCTTAAATAGATAGTCAATAGCCCCCCATAGGACGTTCCTATGTTGAATGGTTCGCGTGAAGATGGAGCATTGGGTGCAGCAGGCTTGGGACACAACGAATTGGTTCAAATTTTTGGTTTATAAATCAATCTTTAGCCCGTTGTTGCGTTGGAAGACGGCGAGATCGAGGAAGATAGTCGCTCGCCGACGTTAGCGTAAAATTTCCTCACAAACTCATTCTTTTTATAGAGAAAATAACGCGTCTACGGCCGAGCAATTGCAGGGCGGCGAGGTAATTATTGAACCGTTTTGATGATTCTGTTTTTAGAGTGATAGCAACTCCGAAGAGGCCCGCATCGATGCCTTGCTGCGAAGCACTGAAAGAAGTAGTTTCTGTTGTCTCAAATAATCTCGATCCCTCAGAAGCACGCAATACGAGAAGGAAAAGCGAACGCTCTACAGAATTTGAATGTAAGACCTATTGTTTATTTTGCTAATTTTTGATTAGCGAGACGTGACGACAGGGCACGGCGCCGACGATCCGATTCTCGGCGTAGGCGGGCTAGGAGTGGAAGCAGGAATAGATCGCGTAGAAGTTCACGCTTTGACAAACCTTCACAAAGGCAGAACGGCAATCGCACGGAAAACGATTCTTGTACGGATTCTCGCTGAACTTTAACTTATTTTCCTAGATGCACGAGCACCTTCTCCGATTCCTCTGATGGGAAATTTGATGAAGGGCCCAAAGGTATCCCCGATTTTCTGGAATTATTCGCTTTTCTAGGTCATAAATCAACTCGACTTCAGCTTCCGCCCTCCAATCGCTAGTACCCCTATGATTAACGGCGGTTTTTTGCCTCCACCACCATTGATGGGCTCACCGGGTTCAGCGTTCACTACCCATCAGTTCTTTCCTTCAGTGGCGCCAACGCACCCGGTGATTTTTTAACTTGTTCTTTCTGCGTCAGTTGGCCATTTTTGCTCCCGGCGCCCTTTGACCGGCTACCCCAAAAAGCGCATTTCAATCGCCCGATTTCAGCCTTATCAGAACTACACTCCGCCGGACAGAGTCCGTGGAAGCTGGTCTCTCGAAGTCGACAAGTTCCTGGGCCAGGTTATATTCACCAAAGCGGCTGACCTTTTGTTTAGGGCCGGAATAGACGCGTGAATAACTACGATGACGATCGGATGGAAATTGCGTCTCCAAGTCCGCCGGCGCCGCCGCCCGCCGCGGAATCCACAGAAAACCTGAACAAAAGCAGCAGACAGGAAGAAGAGGATGAAATATTGCGAAAGAAGCTGATCGAATTGCAAAAGCAGGTGGGGCTTTTTCATCGGTGTTTATCTGCTTGCGATTTTCAAAGATCAAACCTTCTTGTCTAGAAACAAATGCGTGGTAATGACGCCCAAGTTTCTTCCGCTCCAACGGCTGCAGCTACTCCACAACCGTTTTCGCCGGATTCCACGGACCACGAAGATAACATTGGTTTGTGTGTCATTTTAATCAAAATTTTCCTTTAGCTTCTGCTCCCGGCCCCAGCGATGACCCCGTGGCTGACATGTATACACCAGAAATGCTCAACCAGGAGAAGGTACCCCTAACCCGAAGGTTTTTGAATTTTTCCTTTAGCAAAAGCTTGAGGAGGCCGATAATGTGATCGTTTCCTTCCGTGAATCGTTGATGAAAGCTGCGGCCAAGAGAAGGCAACTTTTGGTAAGCTTGGTGTTAATTCTCGAATCTCGTTTAGAAAAGGATCGCCGAGATAAACGAGTCAATAAAATGCGACCGGGTGAAGCTGCACAAGAATATTGATGTGAAGCGACAGTTGCAGCTAAACATCGAAACTATTGAGCTTCACTTGGAGGTATTCCTATTCAGTCGTACCACTCGATTGACCTTGTTAGGCTCAAGCGGCGGCAAAAGAGCGGAACCAGGGTTATGAAGCGGAGGCTGATCCCGAAATGGCTACGGAATTCATGCTCATCGATGGGCTGCTCTCGGTCAACCATGACCTGGACACAAAGGTGGTTATGGCCAATAAATTGAATTCTTTTTTTCAGCGACCTCGCTTGAATCGGTCTTTCACCAGCCCGCGCGAAGCTGCGGTACGTCATTTTTCAAGGAAAAATTATTTTCTGATTTAGTCTGCCAAACGTCGTCGCTTAACGCTGTCAACCGACACTACGAGGATCATCCCTTTGGACCCGACTCCACAAGAGGGCCCGGATTCAGTAAGAATGTCACTTAATTACATATTTACATCTATTTAGCCGATCAGCATGCAAGGCGCAGATCTATCGACCGCGGTGGTTACACCATCGGAGCGGAGCCCTTCCCAGAGAGCTGAGCGAATAGAGGAATCCACTTCTCATCACAGCGATCGGCAGCCACAACTATGCCCGTCATCTCCTCCTCAGCTACTTCAACAGGCTGATGCTCAAGTTATACCGGTGCTCACTCCACCGCCTTTGCCTCCTACCCTCGATGCTCGTAAATCGGAAGCCTGCTTTTCACCCCTGCCTCCTCCTCCGCCGCCTCCGGTACTGAACAAGGCCTCCGCCGCCCCTCTACCACGATCTCCCATCTCTCCACTACCTCCACCACCGCGTCCGGTTCCAATTGAACCCTCGTCCGCTAAACCCATACCGGTAAGAATATATTTGTGTCACTAACGCCGTTTAGGTTCCAAAATTGCCAACTAAAGCCCCACCGGTCTTGAATAATGTCTATCCGACGCGTAGGGCACAAAGTGGCTCCCCGGGCCTGTCGCATTCCAATAAATCGATGGTATCGCTTTATTAATAATTTTTATATTCCGAATTCAGTCCTCGCCTTCGCTGTCGAGACAGCAAGACTTCGCCGTGAAACCGGGCTTTGGCGCAAGGGCGGCCGATCGACTGCCTTATCCCACGCTCTTAGTACGTCATTTGGGTTTTATGGCTCACCAGCTCTAGGACCGACAAACGATGCTGGAACACAAGAAGCGCGTCCTACAGCAGCAGCTCTTGCAAAAGCGGCTGAAGGAAGAACAAGAATGGCAGTACCGGGATCATCTCCGTGTGTTCCCGCACAGGACAATGGTCCAAAAAGCCTATATTGAAGGACTTGCGAAGTAAGTTTTTGTTATTGGGGACTAAATGCGTCTTTTCTTTTGCAGGCCAGCTACGGACACGTTTGGCCTGCGATATGTCAAGGCAGTCGAGTCATCAGGAAAATCCAAAGACGTTCCACTCGTGCAGCCCTTCCTGTCTGCGGTATTAGCTAACTTGCAGGCCTATCTATTTTTTTTTTCTATTTACAGGCTGTCTTCCGGACGATTCCCGTTCGACCACCTTCCGTTTTGGAGCAGATCGCCAGTCAACCGCCTCCACCACCTCCGCCTGCGCAACCGGAGTCGCCTCCAACAGCTGAAAATGTGGTACGCCGGATTTCTTGGTTTTTTCGTGAACGCCCTATCTTCGTTTCTTTCTGACCGTAATTTATTTATTTAGGACCCAGAAGCTGGCGCGGCAACCCAAGATAGTGCTAGCGACGTCCCGAACACGCCCTCGCAAGAACATCTGGCTCAGGAGATTGTGGCGGAACCGATGACTACAATGGGCCAGTCCGAAAGCGTTCCCCCGGCTGCTGGTGAACAACCTGTTCTGGAGAACTATCGTGAAGCGCAAGAAGTAGTCGAACTGGCTCCAGGACGTGAAACCCCGGTCGAAGAGCCGGTCGAAGAGCCGGTCGAAGAGCCGGTCGAAGAGCCGGTCGAAGAGCCGGTCGAAGAGCCGGTCGAAGAGCGGAGCGAAGGGGAGCTATCAACTTCTACACGGCACAGCGTGATCGATGGATTGATCACCATTTCCGAAGAAGAGATCCACCCGACCGAAAAATCAATTGATGACATCGTGGAAGAGGAGGAGCGTCGCGAGAAGGAAAAGATTCGTGAAGAAATGGGTACGATGGTTTGCTACCTAGCGTATTGGTTATTTTTAGAGCGTGAAAGCCATGCGATGTTGGAAACGCAACTGCGCAAGCGCTTGTTGGAAGAGATGCGGTCGCGAGCGAATGGTAGCGGTGATTCCACTCCGGTCCCTGAAGTCGCCACCGGATTCGAGAAGCTTACCGAGAATGACGCCCAGAACGTTATCGACATGGACGTGGAGGAGGTGAGAGTGTTTTTAGCGTCATTCTTTTCCTTTAGTCCCCTCGGTCTCCCGACAACTCTGAAAATGAGGTGATCTCGCCGGCTTCACCAACATACGTCCCATTATCGCCGCAGGGCTCGCCGGTTCGACCTCCCCACCACGATGACGATACCCCTCGCGTACTAAAGGTTGGGTAAAGCTTCTCAAATCATTTGTGCTCTTTAGGGATCGCCGGAAACGCTGGACGCTATCCTCCGCATACTGGACAACGAATCAGTTTGCACTGCCGGCTTTGATCCAAACGTTCCGTTTTGCAACAGTGAACTACTGACGCCTGGTTATTGCAAGAATATCGATTGCCAAATGTAGTGCTCTCCTCGATACCCTCAAAATATCATAGGCAACACGTCTACCCGCGAAAGATCCCGGACCCGTATGAGGGTTTGGTCACCTTTTCCATCAAAACGGCAATGGATAAGATGCCGTGCGATGGCTGGTCCAGTTCACGTCTCGGTAGCCATTTTTGACATTGAAAGATAATCATTCTCTCTAGCGCGAATGAAGGCTGACCTCTTCAAGGCTTGGAAGCAATGTGGTTTGAACGTGCACGAGTTCGTCCCGTCGATCTCGGATGTGCTTGCCGTGAAGCTAAACGAGGAGTCTCGTCAGTTCACATATTCCCCTTCGTCGATTCTCTCTCGTTTTCCCCCGTCTTTGACTAATCTTTCAGGACGCAACTCCCGCGCCGGCTCTACCGATTCTCATGATTCGGCGCTTCAGTTTGATGAACAGTTTGGGGTGCAGAGCCCGAATGGTGCTGTTTGGCCAAAGGGGGGCCGGGTCGCTGCCTGAATTTTCGCGGCTTCCTTGCTAAATTTATTGCTAATTTTTCAAGGGGGCTGGCTGACTTTTTGGGTGTTTTCGACTCTCCTTTTCCATCTGCCCTAGGCAAAAAAAATTTCTACAAAAATCGCTACTTGTAGTCTTCATCGCTTTCCTGGAATCTGGTTACTTTTCTGGTAAATATCAGATCTTCTAGGCAAAAATATTTTCGTAAATTTTTGATCGTAGTTTTCATCAACGTTTGCTTCCAGATATCCCGGCTTATAACAGCCTCCTCGACTGACCGCTGCGAAGATTGATGGACAATATTCGTTTGCTAACTTCCTACTGAGATTCTCTATTCAGGTGCACTATCGTGTACGGGTACTGCATTTAACGCCTTACCGCCTTTGTGTGACTAAACTAAAGCACAGATACTGGCTAAACGGGTGCTCTTTCCCCCGCCTTGTTTGCCCGCACAACCATGCGTATATTTTGATCCCCCCGTGCTGCTATTGTGATGAACATCGTGCTGTGCAACTCGGGTATATACATGTTTGTGGCCCCCAATTCGGTTAATAAAGTTTTTATTATAACTTTTGTCTGTCCATATTGTTCGCGACAATTGCGTGTATCATTCCTGGCAACCTTGTCTCGTTTTTCAACCATGCTGACCGATTTCCAGAACTTGATTTTGGTGAGTCAGAAGGGTGTAGTGCAAATAATTGCTCAAGTTAAATTTTTGCGGGCTGGGGCAGGGCGCATCGCATTTCATTCTTTGTTTGGCATGGTTCCGCTTATCGTTGCCGGCGATCTGTATGAGGGTCGGGGGAAACAAGCAATACCTCAAGGCGGCCGGTCGTGATTACATCGGTCATTGCGCTACTAGTTTTCTCCTTTGCGAAATGGATTTGTCTTTTGCTGCATCCAACACCCCGTTCTGTTCAGATGTCTCCGAGCCCTCGGAAAAGGGCCGCCTCTCCGGCCACAAATGGCGTGGCGGCGAAACGAAAGGCTTCTACAGGTGCGAAATAGCTTGGCGCTATCTTTTTCAGTTCTTTGTAATTTCCGGTCGGTCGGGAAATTCCCTCTAACATCGGTCCAGCTATGCATAGGTGTAGGCGGAAGGATCTTCATGATATTTTTGATAAATTGAGACCTTTCATGTGGAAAACTATCTCTAAAACTTTCACTGTTGGTCGAAAAGTCGATAATGTTAGTTTTTCTAATAATGAAAAGCCTGTTTTGTAAAAAAGAAAAGCTCAGAACCTACTTTATATCTCCTAGAAAAACCTGATCCTGAGGAAAAAAGTCTGTTTCCTCGCTGGTGATACTATCGGACCTAGTTTTTCAGACGCTCACCACCATACGTCGCTGCCACTTGCGCTGCAAGTCCCGGCCCCATACCACGATGAACAGGCCGCAATTGCCGAACGAGCGAAAGTCGACTACTCAACGAAAGTGAGTTTTTGAGATTTGTTCGTTCTGTTTGTTTTTTTCGAATTCTGCAACAAAAACCGAATTCAGGTCACGCTTGACATGGCACATAACAACCGAGCTGGCCGGCCCATTCGCGTCTACGCCGATGGAATTTATGACCTCTTTCATTATGGACACGCTAACCAGCTCCGACAGGTAGATCATTTTCGATGTATCAAAAGACAGCGATTTAGGCAAAGAATGCGTTCCCGAATGTCTACCTAATCGTCGGGGTTTGCGGTGACGCCAACACCCACAAGCACAAGGTACCTGATTCTTTTCAAACTAATAATTCACGTTTAGGGGCGAACCGTGACAAATGAGGACGAGCGATATGAAGCCGTGCGCCATTGTCGATATGTCGATGAAGTGGTCCGCGATGCGCCATGGTTCTGCACCGTCGACTTCCTCAAGGAGTTGAAGGTTTGTCGAAACCCTTATATATTTGAGAATCCTGAAATTAGGTCGACTTCATTGCCCACGACTCGATTCCATACGAGGCCGACGGCGAGGAGGATCTTTATGAAAAGTTCCGGCGTGAGGGGATGTTCATTGAAACCCAGAGGTTTGCTGTGCTATTAACATTCAATTCCTTATAGAACTGAGGGAGTTTCTACCTCGGACGTTGTCTGCAGGATCTTGAAAGATTACGACAAATACGTGCGGCGCAATCTTCAGCGGGGTTATTCGGCTGAGGAACTGAACGTTGGGTTCCTTGCCTCCCAGAAGTATAAGCTCCAGGTAGCCCTACCATATTTCTAACTCTAACCTTTTTTTTAGGAAAAAGTAGACGGCCTCAAGCAGAAAGGGCTCGAGCTGCTCGACAAGTGGCGAACTCGTTCCGATGATTTCATCAAGGACTTCATAGGGACGTTCCATCGCGATGGAAACCTGTCGATTGGCGATAGGTAAATAGACTTTTTGTGAGAATATATTTTTTTTAGGTTGTTGAATATCATGTCCCGAAGCCCGTCCCCTGCTCCTGATGGCTCCAATCGAGACTCGCCAGACAATGAAGCCATCAAACACTAACTAGCCTACCCCACTACTGCCCATCTGTATAGTTTGTAGTGCGGGATAGCATTGCAGGCAAAGAGACGCAGAGGTCTATTTGAGAATTTCGGAAACTCGCCGTTCCATGCTATCCCAATAATACCTTTCCAACACTTCCCGGTCAATATTGTGTATACGCGACTCACCCTTTTTTAAATTACCCTCTTAGCTTATTACCGCTAATTGACGGACCGACATGTGCCATCGCATTGCCATTTCCTCTCACCCACCCACTTATTAACACCGGTTGCGTAGCTGACAAAACATCTAATATGGGGAAAACTTTTCGCTTATTGCATTCATCACCCTTAGTGGCCTGAATATTTCCACATAGCGGCCTTATCTGTTTTTTTTTGTGGCTCGATGGTGTTGCTTCTAATAATAAACTATTAGACTGATGCTATGCCAAGGATGCGACTACAAAGTTTAGGCGATGTGGTATTTTTTGCGCGTGAAACCCAGCCCAACATCTGCTTTTAAAGGTTCACCAATGTCAAGTTACCGGACATGCCATTCACCCGATGATAGTCCAAGTGAAGATGAATACGAGGAATTTCATGTACGAAGAGAACTGGAATCACTTTGCGAAGAGGAGGCCTATCAAACAGCATACAGCATCTATCAAGGAGAGGAATTTACGAATGTCAAAAGGCGGAGATGCCACGCGAGCGATTTTCAAACCTTCCTCCTAGCTGTAATTGTCGGACTGGCTGCAATCTTGGTCGTGCTGGTATTCTTGGATCCGCTGAAAACCAACAAGGGCCGAAGAAAAATGGCGTTCGAACATGGCCTCCGAAAAACCTTGTCTGCGATCGAGTTGCCACCCAGAAAGAGATTGGCGACGACGACGCTATCGCACTGGCTTCATAAATCTCCAGAAGAACCGCTGGTCTTGGTTCTCTACTCATCAACCTCGAAGGGATCACACTTGTTCTCGTCGATTCGAACCCATGCGACGGTCAGTCTCGGAGCGCTGCCCTCATTCAAGGTAACGGCGTCTACCACGCGGATGGACCTGCATAAATACTTTACAAAGGTTTCCGAACAACCATTCCGACTGGCCGTGCTCGAGAATATATCGGATCTTCGAGACGATTCACCATTGGCATTGCATGGGTGGTTCGATGATCAATATGTTATCGGAAACGGCTTCTATGTGCTAATTTACATTCACGGCTCGGAGGACTTCTCAAAATCGTGTGAAGAGGACGTCGTCAAATACATTTCGAAACGATGGGAGGCTAACATTTATAAGAACGTCACCGTGGACGCAATTTTGCATAGTCGTATCGACCATTACCTCTGTCTTTAGGCTTTTTCATTAGTATCACAAAAGTTTTAGGTTTTAAGATTTCTTTAGGCTCTTCATCTCCGTTTTGTGTTTTTTTTTGAAGCGGTGATATATACTTGTAATAAGACTATCGCCTTTCCTCGATTACTGCTTAATTTCTGTGATCTCATTGCCCATTGTACCGGTTTCTTGATCCCTTCTCATCAATACGGGTCTTTCTTCTACCATCATCTTCAATAAAAGTTTTCAGAGAATGGCGACCACCATTCCCGGCTCGCTCGTCAACAAGGCGAAGAAGCACTTCTTGGGCATGCCCGCCCCTTCGGGTTATGTGCCAGGAGTGGGTCGAGGTATCTAAAATACTGAGTGGTACTTATCGCCCTTGAATTTAGGTGCCACCGGCTTCACAACCCGGTCTGATATCGGTCCAGCTCGAGAAGCCGGCCCGGAGGCGGAGATCACTGTCGGAGGAGCCCCGCCGCCAACGAAACGATCGAACGTAAGCGCTACTTTCAGAATCGATATTTCTCTTAGGATGAACGTGACGAGGCGGAAGATCTCAGCGAGGCTAACTTTGACGAATTTGAGGGTTATTCCGGCTCTCTTTTCTCCAAGGATCCCTATGACAAAGGTTGCTACTCTATTCTTGTCGAATTCAAGTTTTGGGAAAATTAGGGTTTATGGTTGTCGCCCAAAAAGTGGTTTTATGGAATGGAATGTGTAAATAAAGGTCAGAAACGAGTTTAGAATCGAAAATTAGGCGGCGGCAGACACTTTTTAGTATTGAAATCGATATTTTAATTTTGCGATCTACAACCATAAACCGGGGTACGGGGGACACCGGTTTATGGTTGTAACTCGAAACTGGGGTTTTGCTATACGAAAAGAAAGAGGATGAGCTGAAACGAATTAAGCTGCAAAAATAATGAGGCGGAACGACGGAAATAGGGGCAACGGGGGTCTTGAAAGGTGGGACTTCTAGCATTGTCAGGCAAGGCGGGCCGTCGCTTCGGATGGGCTGCCGCTCCACTCTTTCGAAATCAGGGCGCCTGGGCGCTACGCGCTCCTCGGGCGCCCCGATTTCGAAACCCTGTACGAGCTCGCACCCATCCGAAGCGACTAGGCCCCCGGTGGCACGAAGCCTTATTTTTAGGCTAAAACTGGGTGTGAACTGGGTGTGATGAACAAACCTCCTAAGACTCCGTTCTACCCGTTTTCGGACTTTCCGCTTCATTATTTTTGCAGCTTAATTCGTTTCAGCTCATCCTCTTTCTTTTCGTATAGCAAAACCCCAGTTTCGAGTTACAACCATAAACCGGTGTCCCCCGTACCCCGGTTTATGGTTGTAGATCGCAAAATTAAAATATCGATTTCAATACTAAAAAGTGTCTGCCGCCGCCTAATTTTCGATTCTAAACTCGTTTCTGACCTTTATTTACACATTCCATTCCATAAAACCACTTTTTGGGCGACAACCATAAACCCTAATCAACCCCAAGTTTTTAGACGACGAAGAAGCTGACGAAATTTATCACCAAGTCGAAGTCAGGCAGGACGAGAAAAGAAAGGATTATCGGTATTCTATTTCGTTCGGTAGAGACTAAGCATTTCCAGTGAGAAGAAATACGCCGAGATGATCGCAAAATATCGTATGGAGAGGCCAAAGATCCAGCAGGAATTTTCCGATTTGAAGCGCCAGCTGGCAGATGTGGGTTTTACGGAGACATTTGGTTTCAGAGAAACAGGAGTGATATATAATTTTTAAGGTCTCCGAGGAAGAATGGGCAGCAATTCCGGAAGTCGGCGATGCGAGGAATAAGGCAAAGCGCAACCCGAGGGCAGACCGGTGTGATTTCTTGCTCGCGCATAATTTTGATATTTTAGTTTATCGGCTGTCCCGGACTCTATCCTGCATCAGGCAATGAACATCGGCGCCTCTACAAACATGCTGGATGACCGGGTAAACAACATTGGTTTTTGACAGAAGTATATTCCTGATTTTTAGGTTCAATCCGGAATGATGACACCAATGAACACTGGGCTGATGTCGACTATTGGCGGCGGGACAGCTAGCAGCATCCTCGGTCCCGGAATGATGAGCACACTTGGTTAGATTTGCAATTTTGGACTGATTCATAGCTTTTAGGCGGTATGTTAACCCCGGGCTGGAAGTCCGGCACGAAGACTGGCGGTTCGTCTGACCTCGATTTGAACAAGATCGGTCAAGCTCGTAACAAAATTATGGACATCAAATTGAACCAGGTTTGTTTTTAGCTGTCATCCATTCATCAGCTATTACTTTAGGTTTCCGATTCTGTGACCGGTCAAACTGTCGTCGATCCCAAAGGCTACCTCACCGACCTCCAGTCGATGATCCCGCAATACGGTGGCAACATCAACGACGTCAAGAAGGGCCGCATGTTGCTGAAGAGTGTGCGCGACACCAACCCCAAGCATCCGCCCGCCTGGATCGCGTCCGCTCGTCTCGAGGAGGCCTTCGGAAAATTGCAAATGGCCCGCAATCTGATCATGGAGGGCTGCGACAACAATAAAAAGAGCGAAGACGTTTGGCTCGAAGCTGTACGCCTTCACCCTCCGGATGTGGCCAAGTCGATCGTTGCCACAGCTGTCGGCCATATCCCGCATTCCGTTCGGATCTGGATCAAGGCCGCCGATTTGGAGATGGACTTGAAGGCCAAGAAGAAGGTTTTCCGCAAGGCTCTCGAGCAAATCCCGACATCTGTCAAGCTGTGGAAGGCCGCTGTGTCTTTGGAAGACCCGGAAGACGCTCGAATTCTACTCACTCGAGCTGTCGAATGTTGCAGTGCTAGTACGGAACTGTGGCTCGCGTTAGCCCGTCTGGAGACATACGAAAATGCCCGGCGAGTGCTGAATAAGGCTCGTGAGCACATTCCCACCGATCGACAAATCTGGTTGTCGGCCGCTCGACTCGAGGAGACCAGCGGCCAAAAGGAAATGGTCGACAGGATCGTATCAAAGGCCCTCGTATCGCTGCGAGCCAACCACGTCGAAATTAACCGAGACCACTGGCTGAAGGATGCAACCGACGCCGAGCATGGCGGTTGCCCACTCACCTCGCAGGCCATCATCAAGTCGATCCTCGGCTTCGGTATCGAAGACGAGGACAAAAAGGCCACCTGGATCGAAGACGCCGAGAATTTTGTGCGCCAATCGGCCGTCGTTTGCGCGCGTGCCGTCTACGCGTATGCGCTCAATGAAATGCCAAACCGTAAGAGCCTGTGGCTGTCGGCCGCCAGCTTCGAGCGGATGCACGGCAGCCCCGATGAATACGAGGCCATCCTCGTACAGGCTTGCGAAAAGGCGCCGAAAACGGAGGTGTTCTGGCTGATGCATGCCAAGAGCCGCTGGCTTCGTGGGTCGGTGGAAGATGCTCGACAGATTCTGGCAAAGGTAATTTTTTACCCCATTTTTGTTGAGTGGTCGGATTTTTAGGCTTTCGAACACAATCCGAATTCTGAAGAGATTTGGATGGCCGCCGTCAAGCTGGAATCAGAGAATAACCAATTTGAGAGGGCACGTCGGCTACTTGAAAGGTACCCATAGCTCTACTGATTTTTAAAGCCTGTTTTTAGGGCCCGGAAGAGCGCGCCTTCAGCTCGGATATGGATGAAGTCGGCTCGGCTGGAGTGGTGTCTCGGCGAGACGGACAAGGCATTGGAATTGCTGAAGGAAGGAATGGAAAAGTAGGCAGTCATCCTCTTTTCATACTCTTTTGATATATAGGTACCCCGAATTCTCCAAGTTCTACATGATGATGGGCCAAATCTACCAGCAGATCAACAAAATCGAAGAGGCTCGCAGGACGTACACCGACGGCGTCAAGCGGTGCCCCCACTCGATCCCGGTGTGGATATTGCTGTCCCGGTTGGAGGAATCGCAGAAGAACGTGGTCAAGGCGCGTAGTGACTTGGACAAGGCGAGAAACAGGTAAGCCTCCTGCAAAAATTGCAGTAATTTTTTAGGAATCCAAAGAATGAGGACTTGTGGATGGAGGCCGTGCGCCTCGAGACCCGCGCCGGACTAAAGGAGCTAGCGCGTGAGCGCATGGCTAGGGCTTTGCAGGTGAGCTGTTAGAACCTACAAGCTTAATTATTTGTTCTTTTCAGGAGTGCGATCAGTCCGGCCGCCTCTGGGCCGAGGCCGTCTGGATGGAGGAGCGACACGGACGGAAGCAAAAGTCCCTCGATGGTCTGAAGAAGTGCAACCACTCGGCCGACATGCTCGTCGCCACTGCCCGTCTACTCTGGTCGGAGCGCAAGATCAAGAAGGTACACAAATTTGATGCGAAAATATTTATCGCTACGCTGACTATCCGATTGGCTCGCCGGGAGCTGCTTAGAGTCTGCGGCGGTATCCTCCCTGGGCGGCACCTCCGGAGGTGATGTCGGCGGTCCTAGAAAATGGGTTGTAAAATGGGATTAAGCTTGGCTTTTTCTTAGGTCAGGCTTACCTTGGCGGGCAAGGGCAGTAGGCGGCATCGGGGCCGGGGGTTCCATCGGATCCGGGCTGTCCATCCTGGCCATCGCTGCCGGGCTGTCCGTCGTTTCCGGCCTGTCCAGCGGGTCCCTCGGGTCCGTCTTGTCCGGGCTGTCCGTCTTGGCCATCCTGTCCAGGTTGTCCAGGAGCTCCGGCGGGTCCACGCTGTCCCGGGCCTCCAGGGCGTCCAGTTCCGCGGGTTCCTACAAGATTGATATTATGCACGAAACGATTCATTAGCAGCTTTAGCTAACTTTAAAGTGTGTAGGAAATCAAGCCGACTTATTAGCCCTTTTATCTCCAACCCCAAATTCTCACCGTTCTGTCCAGGGGCTCCGGGTCCTCCGGGCTGTCCAGGCTGTCCATCGCTTCCGGCATCTCCGGCGGGTCCCTCCTGTCCGGGCTGTCCATCCTGTCCGGCCTGTCCGTCTTGGCCGGGGTTTCCGTCCTGTCCGGGGTTTCCAGAGGGTCCATCGGGTCCCTGGGGTCCGGGAGGTCCTTGCGGGCACTTGATGCACTCCTTGGGCAGCATCTCGGCGGCCTGAGATTGGCCAGACTGTCCCGGGTTTCCGGGCTTTCCTGGCTGTCCATCATCTCCAGGCTGTCCGGCCTCTCCCTTGGGTCCGGGGGGTCCGGCGGGGCATCCGGTCGGCTGGGCGCCGCAGTTGCACTGGCTGCCCGAGCGCTTGTGGCGGCCGAAGATGGTGTTAAGGTTGGCTTGGCTGGCACCGTTGGCCGGGGTGCTGGCGACGACCATGTCGGTCCAGGCGGCGTTCGAGTAGGTGTTGAACTCCTGAAAGCGGGGGTTTTAAGGTGCTAATAAGCCACATTTGTTTTCAACCGCCCTTTAAACGATAGAAAAATGATGAAGTCAGAATCCGAATCCTCACCTTCACGTCAAGCATGGCATCATCGTAGAAGCGGTTGATGTCGTTGAAGATGACACCGAGGGTGATGATGGCTCCGAAGAGGGTGATTCCGGCGGCGGCCGTCGTGAGGGTGACGAAAAGCTTGCTCATTTTGTCCGAAACTGCAAGTGACTTTGAAACGAGTGAATGGCAAATGCCTTACCTGAGGCTCTCGAAGAAGCTTGCAGACCAACGGTACCTCTCCCCCACAACCCGCATCTTATATACCTGCCGATCTCGGGGTACCCCGTTTATTTCCTGCCATAAAGCGCTACAAAGGCGAGAGAGAGAGAGAGAGATAGCGAGTGAGAGAAGTATTAAAATCGAATTGGTGTGCTCTTTTTCTGGCTATTCATGGGTTCACTTTCCAAACCCTCATCAGCTGCTGCTGTCAGTCCGCCCCCGCAACACTATCTCTTACTCCCCTTTTTCTGCTCCCTCCTCATTTCACTAGACTTCAAGTTGCTGCTCACTCTATCTGGTGACCTTGCGCTGCCCCCTGGGGGCACTGTGTTTGCTCCAGTTTTTCTCTCGCCACCCCCCTATCGGCTTGCTAGCCTGATGATTGCTTTGTCTTTCCACTCCCATACACACGCACAAACGCTGCGCGAGAAATACTTCCGAGTCCGATCCACAGCTCTCTCTACAACGCGTTAACCGCTACTGGCGGCTGGACGGCTTTTTGTTCTGCTTGACCTCGAAGGCCGCGCGGCGCCCGCCCGCCGGAGGGTGGTGGTGGTGTGCGTGAGGGAGGCGATGAACTTTTACATCCGGGTGGTGGCATCGTTAAAATGGCAACCGGGGGGTGAAAGTGTTGCGATATGAGGGTTTTTTGGAGCGCGGACGTGTCGCGGAAGCGGGAAAACTTCATAAGGAGTTGTCCATGTATTTAAAGACTATTCTGAAAAATCGATCGCTTAGCTATTTTAATGATAGAATTATCGAAAGGCCGTTAAATCATAGATTTTTGGAAGGAAAAGAATGAACGAAGTTAGGTTCGAAAACGCTTCCGGAATTTTGGGGGCTAGAGCGACAAGAGTAGAAGCTCCTGATTTTGTACCTCCAAGATACCTTCAAATTCTGCATCCACACCTTTCCAATTCCAGGCTCGCGAATGGTTCGCCCGCGCCATCAACGTCGACTCTGACAACGGCGATGCCTTTGCCGCGTGGTACAAGTTTGAGCTGACCCACGGGACTACGGTAGGTTCATTTTATTTTTTCGCAGCTCCTCATTTTTTAGGAAGAGCAAGAGCGCGTCGTCAAGAAGTGCCTGGCCGCCGAGCCGCGCCACGGCGAAATGTGGGCCCAGCTGAGCAAGGTAGATGAATTCTCGAACACTAAATCTAATTCTTGTTTCGCCTAGGACGTGCAAAACTGGAAGAAGCGCACCGAGGACATTCTGACGGTGCTCGCCAACCAGATCTCGATCCCCACCTGATTTCTCCCAATATTCGTTGTTTGTTTCCATTTTTATGTCGTTGTCATTTTCCGCGTTATTTATTGCTACATTTCTGTTTATCGACATTTCTCGCTGGCTTTTTATAGAGGTTGATAAAGTTATTAGCTCTAGAGAGCCGAACCAGGTTTGAAAATACAGCTATAGCGTTTTAACTAAACTTTTGAATGCCCGGATTCGATCTCATCCCCTAGTCGGCTTATAGGAGGTTTTGAAAAGCTTGAAAAAGATTTAACGTTTCATTTTTGAATATTCTAATTAAATTTACTAAATTTAAATATGTTCATCAGGAAGTCGCCCAATTTTTAATGGGATTTCTGATATATAAGAAGCGGTGACGCCTCAAAAAACATCCAATCCATCCCTCAACACAAGCGATGGGCGACAAATCTGCATACATGACCCCCGGCGGCTACAGCGGTGGCGGCGGAGGCGGAGGCGGAAGCTATGCCCGGTAAGCCAGTTTTTTTGAAGTGAAAACTTGGATTTTTCGCGTGATTGCGTGATTTACATACATTTTTATTTTTTATGCTACTCTGTAATTTACCCCTTTTCCAGCGAAGACTACGCGTTCGGCGGCGGCAGCTACGGAGGCAGCAGCGGCAGCTCTGGCGGAGGAGGTGGCGGCGGCTCGTCGACCCCAGGAGTGACGAAGCCCCGCACCGACGTCTCGTGCTACATGGGACCATGCTGAACGCTGAAACCCCTTCACAACGAACCGAATACCTGCGCTCTCCATATTTGTCGTGCTCTATGCGTTTTTTGATAATAAAGGTTGTATTGCTGGAGGTTGTGGAGATGTTGCATGCCGCGTGTTGGGCAGAGGAAGCACGTCGAGAAGGAGTTGGAGGAGGAGGAGCTGTTATAAAAGCACCACCTCGTCGTAAAAGAGGTGGATCGTGATGAAGTCTGCTATTTGAATTTATGCAAGTTCGCGATCATGCAAATCAAATTTTCGAACTTAAAAAAATGGCTTTGGAGGCGTCTTGGTGTTGATTTTGGAAAACTTGGGCAAAAGCCTTGCTTGTTAAAAAAGATTTTTTGATGAAGAACAAGGAATGAAACCGAAAATTTCTATACTTTTTGTAATTTGGAAAAAAATTGTCGAATCGCGTTTTCAGGGCTATAAAAAGTCGTTCCGGAAGTGTGAAAAACAATTTAAACCGAAAATGGATTAGCATATTTATCCGAAAGTGGCCGAAAAACGGTTTCCACGGTAGTCCCGAAATTCCTCCAGAGCCTGCTAAAGATGGCTGACCGATTTTGCGATCTATTTAGGACAATCGGTAGGCAAAGTTTCCGCCCCACTGACCCCAGCTTGCACTCCACTGTCCGGGGAGCCCTGGCGCGTTGCCAGCGTTCCCGCGCGATGGTTGTGGAATCGAATCCGGATGGAACGACCGGTTGGGGGGTGGATTGGGGGAGGGAAGAAGAGGCGAGAGAGTGAGCAGGAAGCTGCTGCTCAACGCGGATACCGTCCTCAAACCGGATCCCTAGCTGACTGCAAGCCCTCGGGCTCCCTAGCCTCTGCCATTCAACGGCTCCGCAATCCTCTTCTACCTCAATTTTTGGATTTGATTATCGATTTTTGTCTATTTTAATATTTTTAATCGCCTAAGCATATTATTTGATGTTGAAAAGATTTTTAGAGACTAGCAGTGGGTATAACGTACTTTTTAGAATAGTTTTCCGTGTATTTTTTTGTCAATTTTAATGTAATTTTAGTTTTATAATGTTTTTAATACAAAATACATTTTCCGATCATCATTACTATTATTTTAGCCATTTACTTATCTTGCAAGCCTTTTAGAAAAAGCTAAAAATACGCTAAAAAGTCTTTTTGGGGTATTTTTTGCACATACGTTCATTTTTAAAAAAATTTATTAGCTCATAATGAACCCCAGTTGGAAATGTTTTTCAGATGTCAGAATACGCATTCGGCTGGTCGTACAACATGCACGCGGCCCTGTCGATGGGGCTTCACATGGCCGGCGTGTTTTTCGGGCTATTTGTCTGGCATCTATTCCCAAAACATGTTAGTTTGATTTTGCGCTTAGTTTTGAATTGGGGGGCAATCGCTAAAATGGCTTATCGCGTGCTTTACGCCAGCGGCGCACTTGAAAATAGCTATTTTGAAGGATGGTTTCAAACCTTAGAAGACGTTGAATCCTTGGTGCTTCTCGCTTGGCGGGGGAGGGCAAATTTTTTAGCAACTTAGCATATTACCAGATGGTTCCAGTCGCTTCGCGACTGCAACCATCTGGCCTTCGGGCAACCCTACATGTCCTACTCCACCGCATCCTTCCCTACCTCCATCAATACCCACGCTAATCGCTTCAGATACCCCCATGGCTGAAATCCCCTTCAAAAACTACCTAAATACCTTCCTGATGGCTTCAGATACCCCCCATGGCTGAAATCCCCTTCAAAAACTACCTAAATACCTTCCTAGATACTTTAAATAATTTAAATAATTAATTAACATAATTAAAAGTATTAAAAAGTATATTAAAAAGTCCCCTACAAAAACTACCTGAAACCTTCCTGATGGCTTCAGACACCCCCATGGTTGAAATCCCCTTAAAAAACTACCTATATACCTCCCTGATGGCTTCAAATAGCCCCCATAGCCGAAATCCCCTTAAAAAAACTACTTAGATTCCATCCCGATACTTTAAATGATTTAAACAAGAAATTAACATAATTAAAAAGTATTAAAAGTATTAAAGTAACTTCAAAAGCTATTTGGACGCGGGAAGGGGCCTGGGGACGAGGGGCGAAGGGAAAGGGGGCGTGGCCTCCCGGGAAAGGGCCCCCACCCCTTTTACCAAGGAAAAAACTTTCAAAGTTAATTTTAATAATTTAAACTAAAAGTTTTTCATAATTTTTTTATCAGTTTGGGGGTTTCTGACCACGCTCTATCCGAATCCGTAGAGATCTAAGTTCTAGCTCCTTTCCCCTTCGAGTTGAATCTGGGACATGACGGACAGACAGACAGACAGACAGACACCACAGCAAAATTATTATAGTAGATAGCCAAATATAACCCATTTCTACAGTATTTTTCGCTTTTCTGAGTAGTGATGCATCAAAAACTATAACATTTTCGAGTAATTTTTCATTTTTATCCAAAAGGTCCGAAAATGAGCAAAAAAAATAGAATTTTTGAATTTCTATAATTTTTTACCAATCAAAAATGGCTAAAAGGGGGTTAAAATACAATATTATCGGAATTTTAACAGGGGATGAATTTTTCTGCATTGAATTGTGTTGTCAAAATTTTTCTAATATTTAAAATCACCGATCCTTAAAATATTTAAATCCTCTAGCCGACCCGCTTCATCACGATGCCGGCCGAGAGGGTGGCGCTGCTGATGGAGCCGCCAATGGTGGAACAATCCTTAAAAATTCCTATCAACAACAACCGGCAGCTCGGATAAAGGAGCTTTTCGTACCTTGGAGTCGAAATCGTTTTTTTTTCTGCTGTATTCTAGTCGTTTTTGTGTGCGCATATTTACGGGTGATAAATTCTATTAAATATAGAAAAATACAATGCGTAATTACGTTGAATTTAACAATTATCATTAGCGTAATTGGAGACATTTTAATGAGGTTTAATTCAGGCAATTATTGCTGGTTTTGAAGGTAAAATTGTGTAAATATAAATAAAATCTTTATACAGATGTTTTTTTTTGTTTTTTTTTGTGCGATTTTTGTAATATTTTTCGAATTTTTATTACTCGAACGAGATCCGAACCATACATCTGAAAACACCAAAATAAATCCATGAAATCGGCCAGGACACAGTAGGCCGGTACAATACGGAAAGTTAAAAATGACAAATAGAAAACGAGACAAAAATATGTTTGAATTTTTCGATAGTAGCAGGATTAATGAATGAATTTTTGTTTTCTGCGGCAAATTGCCAAGAGAAAATCGATACCACGAAAAAGAGAATTACCCAGCTAAAGGGTGGGCAAGCTACCGTAGTCCTGAAGCGGCGGGGTTACGGTACTTAATTACTGTAATTCGCAAATTTGGGGGAAATTTTTAGGGGATGGGCAAGACGGCGGGGGAGGGTAAATCCGTAATTTGACGCTTCTGGTCGGGGACGTTTTAAACTTTGAGTTTTCTAGGTTTTCTAAGTTTTCTAGGCATAGGCATGTGCTTAGGCTTGGCTTAGGCTTGGCTTAGGCATGGCTTAGGCATGGCTTAGGCTTAGTTAGGCTTAGCCCAGGCTTAGCTTAGGCTTAGCTGAGGCTTATACCTATTTTTATGAGAAATTAAGGCAATTCGGATACGGTAATGTGACATGGGGGCGGACTATAAACTACAAAATTTTACATTAAAAAACACAGAAAAATTGAATTGACATTCACCGGTAGTGAAAGTTGACACGATATAGGGGATCCAAAAATCGGGGGTTTGATACAGCAAAAATGGGCAGAATTTAGGACGTTTGGGCTACGCGCCTGTACTGTGGACACCGGGCGAAGCGGAATTAGGAATCAAAGGTACTCCTCCTCCGGAATCGTGCACATCTCGAAGTCGATCTGCAACTGTGTGGGGATAAGATTTGAATAGGTGATTTTGGAGAGAAAATATTGTTAATTCGGCCTAGTTTTGACTTTATATTTTAAAGGGATCGGCAAGGCTGGATTTTGCTGCGCATAACGCTACGCAACGCGTTCAGCCGCTTGCCTCAAGGACCGTAATTTCGCTAAGTAACGCACTAATGGACGTAATTCACTAAAACTACAGCCTACAAATACTCCGACTACACGAGACGCCAAAATTACGAACCCGAAGGGGGAGGAAGGGCCATAGAAGGAGAAGGGGCAAGCCGTTCGAGGGCAAAGAGGGCAGAAGAAAATGCAGAAAAAAGGATGCGGAGCAGCAGCCGGAGGAGCAGCACATCGTCGGCGAGCAGGTCAGTGCGATAGGAGACGACACGACGGATTTACCGTATCTGAAAGGCGTTACGGTAACGGGGCGGCGGCGTCGGCAAGAAGTTCAGGATAGGCACGATACTTGGAAAGGGCTGGCTTCGCGGATTTTAAAGCATACTTTGTAAAACTAATCAAAAGTATCGTTTTTTGCATTTTAAAGGGATGGTACCAGCTGGTCAAGCCTTCCCAGTCCGTTTCATAGAAATTCAAGCTTCAAAAATCGAAAAAGGATATTTAAAAGGTTTAAAAATTTAAGCCTGATTGTGGACCTTCACCGGTCCTTAAAAAAGGAAATAAAGCCTGAAAAATTATAAATAATTTTTTAAATAGGACTAAATCAATCAATCAAGCAAAATTAAGAAAAACTGTGCAAAAAATCGGCGAAACCAGCCCGAAATCAATTTCCGAAACGACACAACCACCAAAAAAACGTGTGTCATGCGGTTGTGCAGCGTAGCTTTCATGTAACAGTCGGTACCTCGGGTCCCTGAGCATCAGCCTGGTCCGACTCATCGGACGTGGTGGCCCTCTCGAGTTTCTCGGGACTCTCGCTGATCGGCGAGCATTCCTCCTTAATGACCTTTATAAGGGTGGTGATAGAAATTTGGGTTGGGCTTTATCCGAAAGGGTCTTTGCCAGATTGCCCCGGGTTTGTTCATTTTTCAGTTTTCTCAAGGATGCCCGCGAGCTTGCCCTAAATCCCAGCGTTCCTAAAGAATCTCTGCTAGCAGGCTATAAGTTTTTCGGGGAACCGAAAGAACCCCGGCTAGCTTGTCATCGATTTTTGCCCTGCCTTGGCTCTCCTGATTCCGCAAACATCTCTGCTAGCCTTCCCAAGGTTCCCGAGTTTCCCCAAGAATCTCTACTCGCAAGCCATGGAATCTAGGATTCCTAAAGACCCTTTGCTAGTCTGCCCCTCCCCCGATTTTCCTCAAAAAACTCTGCTCGTTTGCCCTGGCTTTCCCGCTCCCTAAAAAATATCTGCTAGCTTGCCCGAGGTTTCAGCGTTCCCAAAGATTCGCTGCTGGCCTGCCCCGCGGCCATGGATTCCCCAAGGATCTCTGCCAGCTCGTCCTGAATCTGCTAAATCCTCAACAATCTCTGCTAGCCTGCCCCGAATACCGTAGCATTTCCCGTCTCCTCCACTACCATCATCTTTTAAACTTTAAATTCATAAATATTCGTACTTTTTTTCTTACTTCGATCGTTCCATTCCCAGTGCCGACGCCAGAGGAGGAGCAACTTTGCTGATCTTGTTCTTGCTCGGGTTGGGGTTCTGGGAGCTCTTCCTCCTCTTCGGGCTCCGGCACAATCTCGGACAGCCATTTGGCATGGTTATGTCGGAGGTTGATCATGATCTCGGGCTCCTCGAGACCGGGAAGGATGGGGAGTAGGCCGGCCTGAAAAAGGGGAGCTGATTCTGATCTTCAATGCTCACAAATAGGAGCAGTGGGTGATGTCATGCTCCCTTGAAACGTAAAGGTTGCTCACCTCATTCATGCAACAACTTAACGGGGAGACGACATGAGAGATGAAGCTGTCTTGGAGCTTGGCAACCTAGAAAAGTGGATTTTTGTGGTATTAAGAGATTTTTACCGTACTCACCGCAATTTACCGTAACCTTAACGTATTCTTACATACCCTACGCTTGGCTACTGTAGCAATGGCTACCGTATCTATTTTTATCGTACTCCTAGATCCTAGATTGTATTTATATGTATTTACCGTATCATCAGCTACCGTACTACGTACTACCGTAGTTTTTATGAACTAAATATCGTACTTCGAGTGCCCATACCCTAAAAGTTACCGTATCTTCGGTTACCACATTTCAAAATACCGTAACCCGAGCTACCTTATGCTCCATTGGTCTATGTGATACTACCGTACTTTTGGTCACAGTACGCCTAATCCCGGTACTTCTGAATCTACCGTATTGCTGATACGTAATCCTAGCTACCGTACCTCAGAGCTACCGCACTCTCAGCCCCTACCTGCGGATTCGAGCGATCCATATACGCAGTGATCGTTATCCCCCGCTTCTCTTCCTCCGCTCCCTAAACTCAGAAACATTTTTTCATTTTTTCATGAATTCTGGACGATTTTTCTAGCCCTACCTGCATGTAAAATTCCTCGCAAATCCTCTCGGTCCACTTCAAATGCAGATTGTACGGCTTGCACGGGCTGTTGATGTCCGCCAGCTTGATCACCAGCTTGGAGACAAGCATGCGGTCGGCCTCGTTGTTCATGTCGAGCGAGGAGGAGACCTGAAAAGGAGTTGATCATCCCGTTGGGGTCCGACACCATACCCTGTCGTTGAACGAAATGATGATGTCGAAGTGCTGCTTCAAGTCGGTGGCCAGGATGTACTCGAGCACGAGGTATCTAAAAATTAAGGTGAGTTAGAGAGTGAGAGAGCGAGAGAGAGAGAGAGAGAGCGAGAAAGAGCGAGCGAGAGAAAAAGAGAGAGCGAGAGAGAGAGAGATGCTTTCTTACCTGAACCTCTTGATCTCGGCGGCATCCAGGGTATCGAGGAAGAAATTATCCGGATCTTGCAGCAATTTCCACGACTCGGCGGCGTGGTGGTTCTCCAGCACGGAGCGATCGTTGTAGAGAATGGCCTAGAAAAATCGCAAAAATGTCAAATACTACTAAAAATCAAATGTTTGTCCTGCTAAAACCCTTAAACCCACCATCGGCGCCTCATTGGCCACCAAAAACGCATTTGTCCGCCCGGGATGATCATAATCGTGCATCGCCGCCGCCGTGTAGAGGGCCATCAACTCCAAGGCGCTCATCGTCTCGGATACGGTAATTGCCGGCGAATCCCTGAGGGATTTTGGCTGTGGCGGGCAGGCTTCATCTTGGCTATCCGCGGGAACGCCCTGCCCGAATTGGGGGTGTACCTGGAATTTGGAATTTTGAGAGAGTTGTACGAAAGCCACCAAATGACAACTGCCATATTTTTGCGTACGATGATTATGAAAAATTGTCTTTAAATTTGAAAAAGTTAGCATCTAAAAGCTCAGAAAATCGATAATTTTCAGGGGATTTTAAACTTTTTTAGGTACTGGTTTGTTAGTGGGGGGTCAGTATTTTTCAGTAATCTGGCAGGGACCTGTGGCAAAATATCGACCATTTTATTGCGTTTTACATAATATTTTTTTATAGAAAACACCTAAAAATTACAAAAATGTTATAATTTTTGGGATTTTTGTTGAAAAATAATGTTAAAAAATAATCCATAAAACCAAATTTCTTTAAGAAATTGTTTAGAATTTCCTAACCATAAAAGGATACTAAAAACAACCGAAACGACATGGTATTTTAAAGACGTAATTTTGGTGTAAATTTTTGCTAAAGCTTACCGAGTTGCACGTCAAATAGTACACGCCGTGTAGCACATCAGAGGCGTGGAGGCGGTTGTGATCTAGAATCAAAAAACGTAGCTGAAACGTGAATTTTTTAGGTTGAATTTTTTGTTTTTTTTTTTGAATCCAGATATGGCATGTTTTGCCTAACTTTATGACTCAAGTCGTAAGCATAAGCCTAAGCCTAAGCTAATTGTGATCACGACTCACATGGAATATTCCAGTACCCCTGCTCGAGTGCGTGGAAGTAGTTGAAGAATTTTTGGTGATTCAGCCGAAAGATGCGGAACAAATCGGCCTGTTGGAAGATGCGGTACGTCAGCTAAAAGGTAGGGCGTTTTAAGGTCAAATTTAGCTGACTAATTTGATTTATTAATCGTCGAATTTATAAAGAAAAAACTGACCCTTGACAGACATGTTTCCTTATTTTTCTCGTACATGTCAAAAATAGGGAAATTCCAATCGGGTAGTTGGGCCCAATAGGGGTCTTCGTTGATTTCTTTCGGGCAGAACTCGACTTTCCCTGTCGCATACACCGCATCAGAAGAACAGGGCTCATTTTCGCTAAAAATCACCAATAGAAAACTTTCTAGCTTTCGTGCTATTTCTCTCTCTCTCTCTCTCTCTCTCTCTCTCTCTCTCTCTCTCTTTCTCTCTCTCTCTCTCTCGTTCTCTCAAAACTCACCGATCCTCCTCGACTTCAACGTGGTTTTCTGTTGCAACCCGCGCGGTAGAATCTTCGGCCGACACCGAGTTCGAGCTCGCGGCAACTGGAAAAAATAGCATGAAAGTGCCAGAGAGAGTGTGAGAGAGACAGGGAAAGAGCGAGAGAGAGAGAGAGGAGAGAGACGAGAGAGAGTGATGGAGAGAGAATGAGAGAGTGGGAGAGAGATAGAGATAGAGAGAAAGACAGAGGGAGAGAGAGAGAGAGCAGAAAGAAAGAGAAACGGAATGAAGGAAAATATACTTTAGCTTCTAGAACCTACCATCCAATCGATGGCAACTGGCGCTGTCGTGGATCGATTCGGGTCCGTTTGTTGATGGAGTTTCTGGCTTCCAGTAGCTAAAAAAAATATAGATTTACATAAGGTTTAGCATTAATTTCTTCTATACTTCAACTAATAATTTATAATAATGTTTTTAACATGTTTTTATCGTTATAAATCTGTCGTTTCTTGGGGGCGAGGCCAATTCGAAAATTCAAACTCGCAGTTCATCATTATTTATAATCTGTTAGGTTTCGCTTTTTGGTGTTTGTTTTTGTGATTTTATGCCCTTTCATTTTCGCTTCCGCTTCCTCTCCTCACTTGGTAAAAACATCAAAAATGGATGGTAGTCGAGCTAGTGATGGTCTATGCGTTCTTCTCTTCTGCCGGGCCCTTTTTGGAGGCCTTTCCGGTGGTGGTCGTTCGGTGGATTGTTGCTGGCCATTTTCATGGAATATTGCCCTGACCACCGGCCAACGCTCGAGCGTGAACCCGCTCATCTCGCGAGGAGCATAGGAGGAAGCTAGGGTCAGAATTCTGGAAGGAACTTTTAAAGGGGAGGCTAGCAGAGATTTTTGAGTAAATCGAGGAACATTGAAAAAATAGGATAAGGCAGGCTAGCAGAGACCATTTAGGAGGTTTAGAAATATGTCCGAGTTGGGACGGCAAGCTAGCAAAGATGCTTGGGGAATCGACAATTTTTTGAAGATCCTTGGCCAGCTGGCAGAGGTTCTTGAGGATCTTGAGAACTCGAAAATTGGAAATTGGAAGAATAGCTAGCAAAATTCTTCTAAAAAATCATAAAAATGCGATATTTTGAGCTGGGCATGCTTGCAAAGTTTCTTAAGGATTTTCAGATAGCTGAGATCTTTTAGGAAGTACAAAAATAAAAAAAACTAGATCCTTGAGCATGAGCATAGATTTTTGAGGACGACCCGAGCAGAAGTCGCTCCTGGGAAACCCTCAAAACTCCTACAAAAGTTTGGCCCGGTCGAATCTTTGCCCGAATGAAGGCATGTGTCCGGAAAGGCGGTAAACAATCCGGCCAAACCCCGAAAAAACGGCGGATTACGCGAAAAGTCGTCATTTGTATCGGCGTGTACGCGATAAGGGGGCTTCTAACGATGCAACAAGACAATATCGTAGGCGTGAAAATGCGTCAATGAATCAGGAAAAAAGCTTCCGGACGATCTATCAGAGACTTCCGTTGCAACACCGGGGCCTTTCAGAGGATAGAGAACTTCCGAAACTAGGGCTTGGGCAGCTTCTCTTAAGCTGAGAATCTAATTTTTCTGAAGATAATGCAGCTGAGAAATTATTGAGCGAAACCACATTACGCACTCTCCCCCACCCTCCTGTTACTCCGTAAAAATTCACAAAAATGGGAAAGACAAGCCAACTTCTACTGTCATGCTCCCCTTAATTTGTTACTCTAAGAGACCGTGCTTAGTACTCCCTCGGAACGTGACAAGCCAACCTCCCTAACCTATTTGCATTCATATTTAGATCCCCGCCAATTGTTGGCCGAAGTTTGGACGCAAAACTCTCTAGTTCAGCAAGAGAGAGAGAGTGCGAGAGAGAGAGAGAGAGAGAGAGAGAGAGAGAGAGGGAGGGAAAGAGAACGAGAAAGAGAGACTCCATGACCAAAAAGGTCATAAGCAAATTGCAATTATCATGGAATTCCCCGCTGCAGGATCTCGACTCCAAAGCCCGTCTCAAAAATAGCCCCCGGCTACTCGGGGCCGCAAATTCAGTGGATTGGCGAGACCCGAGTAGCGGGTCCCGCGCCGCGATTCCTAATAAGGGGGGAGGGATGGGGAGGGACGGGCAGTGTAATTTTCAGGCCGAGGGCCCTCGCCTCAAAACTGGGCCCCAGCGCTTGGGGCCCACCGAATTAATATGCACTGAAGAGGGGAGGGGGCTAAAGGGTGGATGTGAAAATCGGGGGCCCAAGTTCCGGCTACTCTCTCTCTCTCTCTCTCTCTCGCTCTCTCCCTTTCTCTCTCTCTCTCCCATCTCAATTAGAACCCATTTTTATATTCGTGAATAATTCGTTTTGTGAGTCCAGGGGCCCAGGATGGGACCCAGGGTCCTGCAACGAAAATGAAGGGACCGGCATTTTTTGTGTACTTTTGAGGGTGAGAATTTGGGGCTAGATTTTGTTCTAGGGTTTCGAATGGACTCTGCAGGCGTCACGTGACGCAACGCACAGACAGGTTTTTCATTGCGTAATTGATTGGACCCTTATGGCAAGTTCCCTAAGTTTTAAAGGGAGGGGGACAGCATAACTGAACAGGTAGCGTTGCGTGTAGCAGTTTTTCATTTTTGTGATAAATATTTAATGGATTTTTGCTGAATTCTAATTTTTTAATTGGTAAAAAAATCGGCTTTAATAAATATAGGATAAATATTTAATGAAAAAATGTATTTAATTCTTTAAACCGCAATTACATTATTTAAAAATCCGCAAAATGATTTAAAAAATTACTTGAACTAGTTTATAATAAAGAACAAATCAGAAAAGGTAGAAAAAAGATCAATATAAATCTAGATATATGACAAATTGGGATCACAAATTTAAGAATGCTAAAATTTCTCTTTAAATTTTTGATCTAAATCAAAAATTTAAAAAGTTGATTTAGACTTGCCGGTTCCTTTAAAATATGAATTTTATTGTTTTTGAGGTAGTCAATTTAAATTTAGTCATAAAACACCTACATAATTCTAAAAAAGGCTAGTCTACGTGATGCTGGGCGATCGGCGGGCGAGTCGTGCCGTGTGGGCATTCAGATGAAGCAGCAGCCAATTCCCGCCCGACCCTACCCCCCTTCGCCCCGTAATTCCAGGCCCCCTCAAAAAAATGAGAAAAAGTGGCGCGAGGATATGCTGATGGATGGGGGCTGAGAAAGGGGGCAGTAGGGGGTAGATGGGATGGATGGAATAGGGTCCATGACCAAACAGCTCGAGAATAACTGCCAATCCCGCAAAATATGTATTTCATTAAAGGGGCTGGGAGGCAAAATGGAGGATTATCCAAATGTGGAAATTTCGAAAATCGAATTTCAAGTGCCGGAATTTAGAATGTCAAAATTTGATAATGCCGAAATTGGATAATGTCGAAAATGGCATAATTTCGAAAAACATGCTGTCGAAAATCAAAATTGCGAATCGTCATAATGCCGAAATTTCTAAATGCCGAAATTAAGGTTCAGATTTCCGAATTTTGAAATTTCGCAACTCGTAGAAAAATAGAGATGCGATATTTAGAATTTCGATATAATGAATGTCGACATTCTGAAATTTCGACAATGTGAATTTCGGTATTCTCACTTTTCAACATAATCGTTAAAGGGCCCGGTAGGGGGGTGTCTCTGCCTCTCTGCCTCTCCCTCGATCTCTCTCTCTCTCTCTCTCTCGCTGTCTCTCTCGCCATTTCGTCTCCCTCTCGCTATCTCTCTGTAGCTCTCTCCGTCTCATACGCTTTCGGCTCAAAAACATTTAGGCAAGCTAGCATAGACCTTTTAGGAATGAAAAAACCCGAATTCCTAAATGACTTCCTGAATCCTAATTACCGTAATACCTCCAGCCATACCTCCAAAAATCAAAGATAAAACGCAAAAACGACACCTCAAAAATCCCGGATCCCTATCCCCGTCTGGAAAATCAAATTAAAGGGCTAAGGAAGCATGTGGGGCAAAAAGAAATTTAATTTCCGGCAAGGAGCTGTGGACAAAGGGGGCTGAAGGGTGAAGCGGCGACCGAATTCCATTTAGCGCCCTTTGCCGGACCGCCCGTCGAAAGCGTTTTCGATCTTGGATTTTTGGACTGTGTGGGACGCTTTTTGGCATGACAATCAAGACGATTCGGGAATACTGTAGTGAGGAATCTCATGCGCTTAATCCATTACGAAATCTGAACTTTTGATGGGTTCTTAAAAATCAAAAAAATCGAGGGAACATTACTATCCTGCTCCGGCCAGTTAAGATCTAATCTATTTTGGTTGTGCAGATGTTTTATGGTATATGCAGCACCGTGATATGTGCGCTGAAATGTGACGGAAAAGCACCTGCTGCTAACTAACATTCTAAGGGTTTTGACTTTACGATATGCTCCAAATTGCGTTGCTGCGTTTGCTAGAGCCGAAAAGCTCGATTTTGGTACCAGTATGGTTTGTATCGAAGAGAGAGAGAGAGAGAGAGAGAGAGAGAGAGAAGAGAGAGGTAGAGAGCAAGAGCGAGAGAGTGTGAGATAGAGGTAAAGAGATAGCTATAGTGCGCGGGAGGGTCAGAGAGAATGAGAAACAAAGCTATCGAGCAAGCGAGGGAGTGGCGATAGAGAGAGAGAGAGAGCGAGAGACAAAGGGAGACAGCGAGAGAGTGAGAGTGATGTAGAGCGAGCGAGAGAGCGCAAGAATACCGCTAAGCAGGAAAATTGAAAAAATCCAAAATTCCCAAAATATCCTACTAACTCCAGCGTTCCCAAACCCTTGTAATAAAATAATTAGCGTCCCCCTGGAGATTCAAGAGGGGAGGCCCAGCAGCAAAAAGGGCGAGTGTGTGAAGGGGCCAGGCAGCCGAGGGAGGGGGATTATCCGCGGTGCGGGCACGCGCGCGGCGCCAAAAAATTAATTTGCCTTTTTTGTGTGAGGGTATGTGTGTGGTGGTGTGGGCCGGAGGGGGACGATTGATGAAGGGGGGAGGGGACACTGAAAGCATTTTTGCAGCCTCTATTCTAAAAAGGGAGACGAGTCGAGGGGGTCCAAGTCCAGAATGATGAGATGGCTTTTCATACGGGGAGATCAAATTAAAATATGACGATTTTTTGGCGGGAAAACATGCGAAAATTAGTATTGCAGCTTTTTAGACCCTGAATTTGAATCAAGAATTTTGAGGCTATAATCCTACCGTAATCAGACGGTTTTCTAGAGCGACAAACCAAAAAAAACTTAAGAAACTCTAATAAAAATTTTTGGAAATTGGATTGCCCATACCGAATTCGCTAAAAAATATCATAATTTTCTACTGGATTCTTAACACAGTACCCCACCGAGCTGAACTTTTCTAAAAAAATACCGTAATCTCAGGATGGCTACGCGGCGCTACTAATGACAACCTCGATCCAATATTACTGTAAATCCGGCTCGGAGGTACCAGGGTGTACCGTAATCTTAAAGGGATCAGGAACAGGATCAGGAAGAAAATCCGAGGACTACCTAGCGCTCCTATGGTCATTCCGGATCGCAATTTTGTAGGAATTACCGTATCGTAACGTAGCGTATTGTCGTTGAAAAATGACTTCTAGGCCTGTCGGTTCCTTGTTTAAATTTTACCATTTTTTTACAACTTTGATGCCTCTACGAAATCAAAATCATTCAAACTAGCTTAAATTGTGATGGATCACGCTTCAGTGGTCCTTTAAAAACACATGAAGGCCAAAGGTCCTGCAAACCGTCACAAAAAAAATACTGAAAATCTTCCAGAACATTCCGGAAGCTTCTGGAAAACCAAAAACTGGAAAAACGCAACAATCCGTCTGGCTGCCGTTCCATCCGGTTCCCACAGCAAGGCCCCCAGTCTTGGGCCCAGGAAAGGCCTAAAAAAAAGCCCAGAGGTGCTGAAAAGAGGGTGAGAATCGAATTGAGGAGAGAGAGAGAGAGAGAGAGAGAGAGAGACAGACAGAGAGAGCGAGAGCGAGAGAGAGAGAGAGGGGGAGCGAGCGAGAGACCTGGTCATAATACCCAGAGGTCCCTCCCAAACAGGGGCACTGATCCACAAAAAGGTGCTTCTAGCTGAGCAGCGGTGGGGGAGAAGCAGCTGAAAATGGAGCCCGGGGTCTGGGCGACTGGGGGGAATCGTGAAAACAACGGCCAAAATGGGGCTGACTGAGGGAGGAGAAGGGAAGCCATAAGGAGAATTGTTCGGTTGGATTTTGGAGTTAATTCGAGTGAAAAACTGGGCTAGATGAAGTTTCTGCATTAAAATAGGCTGGTTTAAGCTTTAAAAAACGCTCCGCTGAACGGGCAAAGTCGGAAAAACTAAGAAATTTACTAAAAATCTTGACTTTCCAGATCAATTTTGGATTCGGATCAACTTTTACAGGGACAGCGATACTACTAAAATTTATCTCCCATTTGTGGACTCATTTTTGACCAGCGCCCAAAACCCGCTTCGCGGGCCTTGGGCGCTGGAATGCGGCCTTTGCATGAGAAATTTGACTTTCCGATAGCTTGGGTCCTTCGGATCCCTCCCTTCATCCGACCACACCCGCGCGTGCAACTTGCAAGAATGAGAAAATTTGTATTTTTTGGAATTATGCAAAGTAGCCCTCCCTGGCGCCGGACACACACACACACAAAGATACGCGACCAAATTATATAAGGTAGGATACTAATTTTTGGCTGAAGTTTGTAGTCTAACTCAGATTATAGCTTGTAGTGTACTGCCTACTGAGGGAGGAAGCTTGTAGTCTGTCGTTTGTTGTTGCGTGGCCTTTACTTATAGTTTCTCTTCGTATTCTGGATCAACTTGTAGTTTGTAATTTAAGTTCATTAGTTATTTTGTGCATTTTTACATTTGAGAAAACTAATTGAGACTAATTATAACCAAAAATTGCCTATGCTTTAGTGAAATTTGCTACGAACCTCTCTGACCTGCTCGACCTCGGGCGATTCGGCTCGGCGGCTATCGTCGGTAATCCGGTAGCTGAGGTGACGGTGGAAAAGGTGATGTTCGATACGCGTGGTTTGGACGTCTGCAAATAATTTACATAATCGAGTGAAGGCTACTGTAATCGATCCTATAACTTCCCGGTTCCTTTAAACTTTAATTTTTCAATACCGTAGCCCGCCGCGGCTTTTTTGCACAATTTTTTGGTTACCGGAAACCCTTTCGCAAGTACTGTACGTCTTCGTGTCGTTGAAAAGCTGTATTTTTCGACTGCCAATTCGTCAACGCAATATCTTGAAACACCGTAGGCAGCTCCAGCAAATTCAGCGATTTGCCGTAGCCGTTTACCGTAAAATCCTCCTGCGTATCCTGGCGTACCAGGCTGCGGTGATGTGAGATGCAATTCAGCACCATTTTACTGGCTTCGGTACTGTAGAACTGTACAAAGTTCGGGCGAAAATGTGAATTTAGTCGAGAAGCAGGAATTTTAATAGAGAAAACAAGAAAACCACTAATTTTTGCAACTGTTGGTTCTTTGAACTAGAAAAATTTAATTAGAAAAATAAAAAAATAAATAAAATAAAAAATTAGAATTTTTGATTACGTAATCGATACTGTATTCCACTTGTAAATTAATCATAATACAAAATTGAGTAGACCTCAAAAATCCATGGAAACATCTCGAATTTACGGAACTACTCATTTCTTTTAAGAAGTACAAAAAAATTTACAAAGTACACTTTAAGATTTATTTTGAAGTTTAAATTGCATGAAAAATGGCGAGGCAGGGGATTTAAACGTTTTAAATTGAGAAATTAGATTTAGGACCGAATTCCGGATTTTTATTTGGTCGAACATTAATTTTGCCGAAATTTCAAAAGGCTTATTTTTTTGAATTTTGTGCATTTTTGAGATAAATCAATTTCGACAAAATGATTTATGCTGATAGCAAATTTGTAATGCCAATATTGACGAAAATCGGGGTACTGTAGCCATTCCAAAAGTGCCAAAAACGACCGGCAGTAGCCATCCTTAGACGGACCACAAGTGTCAACAAATCACGGGGCCCAAGGGCCCAACCCAGGGCCCCGGAGGCCAGCTTTAGCGCACCCCAACCCGCATAATACATATATATGCAAAGTCTAAATCCGGCTCCCCGGGTGAGGATGGGCCGTTCGGAGGGTGTAGAGCGGAATTTGATGGTGTTGAAGGGAGGGAGGGGGGAACGATGGGGCCCCAAATCTTGTTTTCCCGCACCCAGAAAGGCGTGAAAAGCCTGGGGCTCCGCGCAAAAAGAGGAGCATGAGCAGAACGGAGGGAGGCTATACGAATCCACCCAATAGCCGGAAAGGTCACTCGATTTGGGAGGGGGGGGGTCCGTTTTCGGGGGGCCCCACCCAGATCTCTGGCCAGTTAGCCAGGGGCCCAGCTGAACCGGCTGAACAAATTTTGTATAGCTTTTTTTGAGGGACAGATATTCGATTCGTTCGAAGCGTTACAAATTTGAGCATTGCTTGATTTATTGAATCCATTCTAAATTTAAAAACGGTTCTTTTTAAGGCGGGAAAACGACAAAATGCCGACAGCAAAAATGCCGACAGCCAAAATCCCGATAACAAAAATGCCGAGAGGCCAAAATTGTGACCGCCAAAATCTCGACATGAAAAATAGCTGAGAAGAAAGTCGGAGCCCAACCAGCGTCATACTTCTCGGTATTCTCGCTGTCGGCATTTTGGCATATCGGGTTTTTCACTGTCGGGATTCTGGCTGTCGGGATTCTGGCTGTCGGGATTATTTCTGGAATTCGTGTAGGGCCCCCGGCAAGCCCAAATTTTTCAAAATTCCACAAGTAGCCCTGCTACCATGCTGAAACAGCGTTTCTCAAAGATTCTCTGCTAGCTTGCCGCTCACCAAAAAGAAAGAAACAGCAAAAGTCCCGCCCTATCCCTTTTAAGATCTGTAGGTGGCATTTTAAAGAGATTTTCAAGGCAAAATTCCGTTATTTTAGGACTTTTTGGAAGTTTTTGAATTTCGCCGGTTGATTATCGTAACCCTAAAATTTTTTCAACGCGTGACCCAAATTCCAGAGAATCACTGCAAGTTTGCCTACATTTCTCTCAATTTTTAGAAAATTAGTCTGACTCATTTTTGCAAATTTTGCCTAAAAATCAAATATTCGAGCACCACTTTGCACATCTAACATCTTGCATTTTTTGTGTGTGCATCGCCGCGTTGCATGTCGTCGCCTAATTTTTCGACACACCTCAACGACTCGAGCAATATCGGGGCGAATTTGCAGCCGGCAGAAATTAGCAGAACGCGCGGCGGGGTGATGCCCTTTTTCGGAGAGGGAAGCAGATCAAAGGGCGAAAGCTGGCGCAAAAACCTAGGCACATTTGGCAGGGGAATTCTTTAATTAAGGGCCCGTCGACTAGTTTCGCATCGGCTGAACGTGCAAAACGGAATTTTTGACAGGTTTTAAAGACTAGAAATCGGTCACGCGGACGTTAATTTATTTGGGAAAAATGTCTGGGAATATCCGAATATCGAAACTTTGGTAAAGAAGCAGTTGATTGCATAGAATTTGAAGGCGTGGAGAGAGGGGGGGGGAGGGAGAGAGCGAGAGAGAGAACGAGCGACAGAGAGCGAGAGAGCGAGAGAGAACGAGCGAGAGAAAGAGAGAAAAAGAGCGAGAGAGAGAGAGCCAGACAGAGAGAGAGAGAGAGAGAGAGAGAGAGAGAGAGAGAGAGACAGAGAGAGCGAGGTTCTGAGCACTAGAACGGTGTACAAGTAAAAGCACTAAAAACTGAGCACAGATTTTCTCAAAAAAAAAAACAGAAAAACGCGCATTTAGGAATGTCTTAAACATATTTTTTAAAGATTTTCTTTCATGAAAGCAGGCATTATTGATAGCCATAGGTTATTTTTCGATTTCGTCACTTCCGAATCCCTTTAAAGCGCAACAAACCTCATCTTTCCCCTCATCATCCAAACAACTATGCAGACATTTCGATGATTTATGATCGAAGCCGAACACCTTGACCAGCTTGTTCTTCCACAGCGCCGAATAAATGAGCGTGTCCGAGTGGTGGTGCGGCAGTTTCGCCGACGACGACGACGAGGATGATTGGTCTCTTTTCAGCGAGAACATCTGCCAAGTTACGGTGCATGAGGGAATACGGTAACGGAGAGCACGAAATAAATTACAGGAAAAAGATTAAGAGGACAAATTCTACAGTAACATACAGGGAAATTGTTTTTATATTGATAGGTCCCTAAATGTTCTATGATCAGGACGCGGTAGCGTCGATAAAAGTGCCTGGTTTTTATTGTTTTCACTTTTTCAAGATATTTGGCAGAAATTTTTAACAGATAAAAGGACTTAAATTGGATTCTAGTAGAATTTACATTTTACCATATAGAACCGGCAGGACAAATTATTTACCCGGGCATTTTGCAAGAGGAGAACGACGGAGAGACATAACTGGAAGAGCCAGCTAGAGAGAGAGAGAGAGAGAGAGAGAGAGAGAGAGAGAGAGAGAGAGCGAGAGCGAGAGCGAGAGAGAGAGCGAGAGAGTGAGAGAAAGAAGCGGCTACACGATCATACCTTCCCCCCTTCCAAGCTAATAAGTCTTGAAGTAGGAGAGCGGTGATCCTTTGAGAACGGTAGTTAGCCTGAGTTCTAGCTTCCAGTCTTTAAAAATCTGAGAGCGTAGAGAGACAAAGAGCGCCGAGTAAGGGAGAGCGAGAGCCAGAAGTGCGAAAGATACAAAAATTGCGGAAAACTAACTTTCAAAAACCCCTAAAACAGTTGAGTTTTTGTCTTTAAAGGGACTAGGAAGCGTCAGAATAGACGTTTCACCTCCACTAGGTCTCGAAAACTGGATTTAGTTCCAAAAACGGAACAACCCGTTATATTTTTAACCATCTCGGTCAAATTTGAAGTTTTCTGAGTTTTGTCGAGATCTAGTAAATTTTAGGGGTGGAATCCCGCACTTTGGCGTGCCTTTAAACACGGAACTTTAGCATCTAAAAGTTATGGAGACTTAAAGAGTCGGTTGTCCCCTGAGTGGGTGGAGGAAGGTGGGCTGGGTCCCGCCACGCCCGGGGGATGAGTTGGCTTTGCGTAGTTGTGAGGGAATAGATGGGTCCCCTTGGCCCTGATTTGGCCAATTTGAATGGCAGATTCTTTGGGGGTAGATGGGAGGAGATGAGGGGGCATCCACCACACACAAAGCTCTGAACATCACCGGAAAAAGAAGAGGAGCAGGAGGAGGAGAGGGGGAAGAGATGTGTCTAATGAGATTCCGTGAAGCTCCACGGAACGGAGGAGATCGAGACAGAGAGCAGCTACATGGAATACTTTTCTCCCCAGGGCGCCGTTCGGGTTGGGGTTGAGGCCAACTTTGGATGGGTTTTTCGAGCGGTCAGGCGGAATTTAGGGGATCAAAGTTTGATGGAAATAGGAAACGGAATGCCGAATTCAGATTAACCGCTGTTTGAAAATTCCGAAATCCAAAAATAGACGCTTTTCTGGTTTATAAATAAAAAATTTTTGGAAAATTTGAGACCCCCGGTAATGCGCCAGCACCTTATCCTTCTCCTCCCTCTCGCTCTCTCTCTCTCTCTCTCTCTCTCTCTCTCTCTCTTTCGCTCTCTCTCTCTCTCTCTCGCTCTCTCAATCGGGATTTTCGTAAACTTTCTAAAATGGAAAAAGCGAGCACGTATGAGATAGATGTCAGGATTCCGCATCATTCCAAATGACGGGGTTTTGGGATTACGGTAAGACGGCCGGATTTTATCGACATTATGGAAAGGCCGTTGATGATGCATTAATAGACGATCAGAAATCCTTAGAACTTAAAATCCGTGCGTTACGGTAGAATTTTCGAGATTAAGAAATTTGGTTGAGCTGCTGAATTTAAGCTAGGGACAGAACACACCAAATTACGGAACGGATTTCGGACCAAAAACTGATATGAATTGTATTAACGAGAATAGAATTCCCCAGAGGTCTAGAGAGCGAGGGAGACAGAAAGATAGAGAGAGAGAGAGAGAGAGAGAGAGAGAGAGGGAAAGAGAGAG